TGAACAATTTGATTTTATCATTAGGATAGACACTGTAGACCGCCCGTAATTGGCATTGGACCAGGGAGATCAAACACAAACGTTTTAAAAATAAACACTTCTGTGGTTGTTGTTTTTTTTTTCCTAATTGGCGTTGTTTTCGTGGCTCGTTGGTTATTTGACACTTTAGAATAGATCGATTGGAAAGCTGAACACGGCTAGCATACAATCTTCAACGGTGAATCGTGTGTTCATTGTAAACAAAACATTAACATACGGCGTAGAGTTCAGCCCCAACAATAACAATCCATAGTAAATTTATATTTCATACAGCAAATGGCTTTCTATAAGCTTACAAAATATTTTCTCTGTGATATTTTATAATATTCTTTTACTTTTTCACTGTAATTATATATTTTTTATAACTGAATCTAGAGTCATTAATTCAATACTTGTAAAGATGTTTTAAATTTTCTCCCTGTTTTAGACTACCCCAACGAACACGAATACATACCCACAGTTTCTAGAAACGTCGCGCCAGCCAGCACCTACTTCACGGGAGGGCACCACAGCAGCAACACCCACGTCTACAGCAACAACAGCAGGACCGTAGCGGCCAACAACGCCATCAACGCCCCTCTACTCCAGATCCGGCCAGGCTCCAGCACATCCACCACCCTCATCTTACCCCCGCCGGCTTATTCCGGCTCCGAGCCCCAAACATCAAACCGGCACCACGACCGTGGGGCGCCGGGCATGCAGGTGAACCGGCACAACGACAGTGTGGGGTCGGGCATACAACCGACTCAGTCCCCGACTAGGAACACCGTCATCGCTGAAGCTCAAAGACACTCGTACAACATCAGCAATCGACAAGCCGACCGCAGACAAAATGGTTCCACTTCTGGCAGAACCAGCAGCTCTGCTGTGCGCGGGAATACCCCCACGGACGTTTGGTCATCGTCTGCCCGGACTTCTGCTGTGTATATACAACCCAGCGAGAACTTGCCGTCTGCAAGATCGTACAATGCAAACAGTTATGGAGCACCAGTGCCCAACCCTTATCGTAGCAGCGTCATAGACGCTTTAGCGCGAGACTCTCTACGGTATGGGAATAACGCACACCCTACGTCAATTGTTGAAGACTTGTCGCTGATTTAGAAAATACATAACTTGCTTCTTGTCGAATGTGGCTTTACTCAACTTATTTAAGTTGAACATAGAACAACACCTAACAACTTTGGAAGAGTTAATCAAAAGGATTACACTTTAATGACAGGGTTGTTACGAACTCTAGGCTATTTTCTTATGCAAGCACATGCCAGCGTAAACTTAAACGGTGTATGTATAAATTCTATTTGCATTCCTCTTCTAACAATAAAAAAAATTAAACTGAGAATTTTGCATAGGCTAAAAAGTATCATCAGATCATCATAACTGTGGACAGTTGAAGAGACTAGTCAAGCACAGAGATGCCTGGAAAGCTCCTATCAGAAGCCTATGTCAAAGGAGAGGCGTTCAGCTAACCTAAGTATCATAGTTCTTATACTGTTCGCAGCGACTGAAAATGTAAGGTCTTATTTATTTCTACTTAATGCAAAGCCAGAATTGAGTAGGTAATTCACATTGTTGACACATTTTTTAAAATTTGATTTTCCTTTTTTAAAAACCTCCTGACGAAAGCCTTTGGTCTAACCACCAAGTGTTTAATTATTTTGTTTTGTTTTTAAAACCGAGGACACTAATATATTCATGTTTAAAGTCATGATAGATAATGTTTGGTTTCAACGTATTACACAGCAACAGTATCAAACGAGGGCCAAAAGGCATTAAGGTCCATACAATATTAAAGGGTAGCTATAAATGTAACCTAATTTTAATTTATTTGTTACCGACTGTATAGAGGACAAATGCAGTGATCCACTTTTTGGTGAAATCTCGGTACATTTACATTCAAAATGGCAATAAGGAAACCCAGTAGAGTACAGATGTAAATTGTCTGAAAACTTTAGCAAGCAGATATTTGTTAAACGTTCCAACTTAAAATACTTTGAATTGAAAACTACAAAGCCTAACCATTTTTCTCGTGATTTATGATTTAGTTGCTGTTTTTTTTTAAACAATCTGCCTTTCTCCTCCACACAATCGTTATATTACCCTTGTTTTGAAGTACAGAGTTGTTTCAGACATCCCTTGGGGGTGGAAGGGGGGGGGTGCGAACAAAATATTAATTTATATACAAAATACGTACTTTAATTAGCGACCACACCCCCCCCCCCCCCACACACACACCCTGAGAAAAATATCTGAAAGAAACACTGACTTCATACTTTATATCACCACTTGTACTGCAGTATAAAAATAATTTAAGAACCTTTTTTTTTTTAATCTGCCCATGAATTCAGTCTTACCTCTGTCAAATTACTTTGATAGGGTTAATTCTAGAAATCGTATAGGGCCAGCTTATGCAAGCATGGGTATATTAAACAATGACTCCTCCCTGTTCGTGCCGGCAGACATGTTGAACGCGACTTGATCAAACCACTCAGGTGTAAGAATTCGATCTAGGCGCTGGCTGGGTAAGAAGCACCTGTTGACCTCGATTTCGTGCGGTTCATGCACACTTCAACTGATATGAAGTAGAAATACCTACACGGGCGCAACATGAAATCAAATATGGACAATGTTAATGGCATGCGCTAGTTCACGGACTATCGTAGAGTTTACCCCGTTAGTGGTCATACTCATACATAATATTAATAGATCTACATATCTAACCGGTAATAACGATCCATGGAGCATGAAAATTGTATGACCATGATCGGGCACCATCATATAACACCACAAAATCGGTGCTTTTTTACCCACACTCCTACCTATATAATGCTATACCGATATATGGTGTGCACAGACATCCACCGCTTACACATTGCAAATAATTTCAAGAACACCCCCCAACCAGTGGCGTTGCTACCGTAAAGCTAGCGTAAGCAAGGCATAGGGGCCCAAGGCAAATAGGGCCCTTTTTCGAAAGTTTGAGGGGGGTGCAAATCGAAAGTCTGAGGGGTGTGTGCAAATCGAAAGTTTGAGGGGGGGGGGTGCAAATCGAAAGTCTGAGGGTGGGGGGTGGGTGCAAATCGAAAGTTTGAGGGGGGGTGCAAATCGAAAGTTTGTCCCCGGTCTCCGGCAGGGTCGCAGCGCCTCTCAGGGGCCCACTAACACTTTTTGCATAGGGGCCCAAAAATCCTAGTTACGCCACTGCCCCCAACCCCTTACACAACACACACTCATCCATAATACTTCCTCACGAACTAGATCTAGGCCCGCGATAAACTTTACTCCTAGTACTACGCAAAATAAATTGTGGGAATAGCGTCAGGAAAGCCAGGGCTAACGTAAAAAACAAAAGCTTAGAAAAAACCTAGAGACGTGACTGGAAGAGGGACACAAGGGCAGCTGGGTTAGGTCTACCTGCCGGGTGGGGCAGGTGTTACTAGCTCTGGGGTAAAGCTGCGTGTAGTGTTTCTTTCAGACATTTTTCTCTGGTCAGCACTTGAAACTTTAGGGGAGTCATTTCCGTTTAAAAGTATTCTATATATAACTGTTTGATATTACCCCTACCTCATACACCACAATAGGACAACGTGCAAAGAAACTGTCCCCGCTTTGTGATGTAATCTATGCACATTCCCCTAACCGCTGTGTGCATACAAGACTACATTTCTATTTCAAGATTTTTCTTTTAAGTAAAAGGTCGAGTTTTGACGTAACACTAATGGGGGTGGGGGGGGGGGGGAGAGAAAGGGAGGTCGGAGTTTTGTGTTGACTTCTGATAAGTGCAGGGCGGGAAGGAATAATATACTGTGGCGTCACACGTTTATTTAAAAAGTATTTTTTAAACTAAATATTAGCCGTTATTTCGCATTTTTAGAAAGAATTTGTTAATCATAATAAAGATTGATTAAGTATTTAAAACTGTTTCCAAAGAGAAAAATTCATTTTGGAGGGGATGGAAGGGGGGGGGGGGAGAGTAAATTTGTACAAAAAGATGTAAGTCAATTAAGGACGACCCATAACATGTGGTAAGCTATAGTAGGAACATTAAGACCAATAAAATGAAAAATCAATTAAAATACAGGAATTACTTTTAAATTTCTATTTAAAAAAAAAAAAAGAAGTTATTTTTCTGCTTTAAATCTATATGGCCTATTTACTGTTTAAAATTATTCCAAGGAAAAGTAATGTGGAATCCATGGTCGCCTTTTCATTGTTTTAATTTTAATAATAATAATAGACCAAAACTTTATGCTTATGGAGAAGAAGCTTTGAAACAGCTACACACCAAAGTGAGCTTCCATAGCTTTATACTGTTTTGTTACATTAGTCATTTTCAAAAAAACAAAATTACTGTTTGTTGGTCAATACAAATGATTTTCTATGTGAAATTTGTTGTTTTCTATATACTAAAGTGAAGATTCTTCGACACAGCTACACACCAAAGTGGGCTTCCATGTCTTTAAAATGTTTTGTTACTTTTTTATGTATTAGTTGTTTTCTCAATAAAATGAAAAAGACATTGGTCACTAAGTATATTTTTTTAAAATGTGAAATTTTATTGTTTGCTATCTACCTACCTTAAATCTACTATGCAAGTTAAGTAATATGTGGGACTATATTAGAAATTTATAATACTTTTTTAAAATTGTTTAATGCAAGTTATAAAATAACTTGACCATTTTAAAATGAAATAATTAATCAATCGACATAGCCAGTAAACACAAATATTACACCTTACTTGCATACTAAATACTAAAAAATAAAATAAATATTGCTTAAGTGTGGCAGTTAGCTAACTGGACAACTATTTACATACTGAAGTCTAATAGGGTTGTAAATTAACTGTACAGCTCTTCTATAAGAGTAACTAAATCATAGCAGTAAATTAACTGGACACATCAATAAGTTTAACTAATGTAAGTTTGGCAGTGAATTCACACTTTTCAGTAGGAGATACAAGGTGTTGACAGCTTATATTATTAAACTAAAAACATTTATTTTCTTACAAATTTTAGTATTTTTCTTCACTTAAATTTGAAAAGAAAGCGTATCATTGTGTTAACATTAAATAGACAAAAACTTTGCAAAAGATGATAAATAATTTATTGGATGTAATAATTAATGGAGAATAGAGTAAAAGATAATATATTATAATGTTTATTTTAAAACCAGTCAAATCTGAAAGACATTTCCTAAAATCATAAAAGCAACACTTTAGTAGGTACAAATGAAGATATTGTGACATCAAATAAAATATGAGCAACAAACAAGAAAACAATCCATATTTTTTAAACAGTGATATCACATAACGAAACAAAATATCGTCTGGATTATGAATGTTCAATAATATCAACGAAATTAACTTCAGACAAATTGTTTATCACCTTTAAATAATGACATCATAGTTAAGTTAAAAATCATAATCTGATTTTGATGAAACAAGTAATTTCAAATTGATTCAGGATTATCTTATCTATTTATAACAACTTTTTAACCCTCAATCAAGACTGCCACAATCTACTTGAATTTTTTGAATAGTTTACACAAATATTTACTTTCCACAAAAAAAACAAAACAAAGTATTTGACTAACATAATACAATAGATTTAAAATATCATAATCAAAACTGAACATATATTTAACCTGCACTAAAAAAGGTCACTATTAAACACATTTAATAATATGTTGTATTTAAGTGTGTACATCTTTATATTAAACATGTAGCAAATGAATACCATTATACCTATTTTGATTATTACCTGAATAAGAGTATCCCTTTTCCCTCATAAAGAATTATTTCCTACCATCACCTATACTTATTTTAAGAATTTCCCATCAAATAAATGCAATTCATAAATGTCTATTTTAAACTTTATTTCAAGTGACCTGTGTAAAATGATTAAGCATATTTGTATGGTCATGGCGATTTAATTGTTTACATGTGGCTTAGACTAGACAATACAAACATCAAAATTTAGTGTTGAGATAAAATATGATGTGAACAAATTAAGAATAAATAAGACAGCATGTTTTAAAGTATTGTGAGGAGTTTATGACAATGCTGGCAAAATAAAATAATAGCACTGCTAATGAAATAATCAAAAATAAGAAAAAATTACTTATATTACAGTACATATAAGTTTTAACAAAATTTAAATAACATTCCTTTCATGATGTGTGCTGTGTATGACTGTTCACTTTTCAGAACTGATTAGGAAAAAAAAAATGAACACTTTTAAATCTCTGAACAAGGCCCAATGAAATAACAACTGGCAACCTCCAAATGTTAATTTTATCTTTATGTTTAATCCTGACATAATGTCCAGAATTGAATAAGACAGCATTTTGCAATCCAAAATGTTTAATGTGAGCATAAGCTAACAAAAAAAATGCTGAAGACTGAGATTTTAACCAACAATAAACACAATAAAAACAATTGACTTTAAAAAAACATTTTAACCCTCTACAACTTACACATTTTTGGATGAACTTGTCACATTTTAATAAACACCCAGTTGTTTAGCTAAAACAGTGGACAACTAGACTGTGGACAACTGTACAGTGGATAGCAGCCAAAATTTAGCGAACAACTTTAGTTAAATAACACCCAACTCAATGGTGGATGGCTGCCAAGATACTCAGCTGATCCACCGGAGAAGTTGATAGCTGTCACAAGGTGGGCAGTGGTCAAGAAATTAAACTTATAGAATACAGAGGTACAAAAAAATTGCAGCTGCCTGTGTGACTATTAATTATGAAAGTTTTAGATAAAAACCTAATTTTGATACAAAATATTCAGCCTACATAAAATTTTGCAGCATTGTAGTAGTGGGGTATTTTTTTTCTTTCTAGAATGCCTGATCACATCAAAAAAGTGGAATGTGGTAAATATCAATGACCTCACAATCTAGTATAAATATGTATAAATTAAGTGCCCTAACATCACAAACAGTACATTTTGTTTACCAAAACAAACCCATGAAAACAATAAAATAGGTACAAAACAAAATGAGAAAAATTATTAATTTGTATTAACAGTTATGCATGTTCATTAGATTATTTAATATGCTTCTAATTTTTGTATATAAACTTACAATTTAGTTGAAGTAAAGGTAAAAAATTATATTTTTTTTGTAGTTTGTATATATTTACATTTACACTATTCCGGAATTTGTTTTAAATTAAAAAAAAATACTTTTCCTGAAAAATTACTCTGAAATTAGTGATATTGTAAATTTTAAGCAAAAACAGCATTATTCAAATGTGGTTCACGAAACCATAAAAAATAGAATCAATTTTAATGTAGTCAAATTTTGTTTGAACTTCAAACAATGTAAAGATTTTCATTTTTAAAAACTATATAAAATATGGAACTTGTGTGCTTTAAACAAGCTTGATACACATTTTTGTTTTATAACAGTAACAATATTTACAAAATGGATTTTATATTTCAATAACTACATTTAAAAATTTAGTTTGGCATTAGTTGAAAATGAGCGACAAAGGTGATAGGTATCAACAAGCACATAACAGGAATAATAAAAATTACTAAATAGTGAAGAATAGTACCAATTCAAATCTACCTTCATTGGTGATACTGCCTAATGAAACAGTAAAACTACTTTTGAAACACATGCCATTCCTAAACTTACTAAGAATGTTTATATATTGTTTACTATTGAATGTTAATGATTACTATTTGTCAAGAATTGTAAATTTAGCTAATAAAATGTGATTTGTGTAATCAGTGGCAAGAATCACATAAAGCTTAAAAACATTTGTTCTACATGGGGTTTTTTACATTAGATATACATACTATACAAGTCTAGAAATCTCGTAACAAGTTAATGTTATAGTTATACGAAAACATTTTTCCCCACGGAAACAAGTTTTTCCTAGACATGTATAGTATACATCTCACAAATGTAAACAGTGTTTGGTGTGAAATGTCACTGGGTGATTAGAAGTTGTTTATATTTTGGTCATAATATCTGTCAAGTTCTACACTTTGTTTACTGTGGGGAAATTGAAACAAATCATAATGCCTTCAAGTGACAGATCTGTGACACAACTGTCAAGCCAAGTGAGGAAATATCTGTCATTTCAACACACCACTGGACAGACAACTATGCAAAACCAAAACAGCCAGGGGTTACAGCCCTTGCTTGCCCTACAATATTATGAACAGTTCATGACATGGTTACAAAAAGACAATGCCACAGCTGTCACCATGTTCAAGTCAGTTTCACAAAAAATTTTGTTTTTAAAAAACAACACACCAAAATTAAATGGTATGCAAATACGGGTTAAATTCAGCATGAATAAAATGCTCAAATAAATTTGTTTCTTCCTCATGCTCATCCAAGCTCATGTAAACTACACATATGCTTAAATTCTATATTGTAATTTATAGCAAATCCTCAAAATTTACAGATTTTTGAAATAATCAAACAGAAACGTTATTTTCACACTTTTAGGATATTGTCATTTTAAAAACAGTTGTTAAATTTATAAAAATGTATTCACACAAACTGAAAGGTATCTACTATGCTTGTGAATTTATTAAAAGCTAACAGACACATTAGATGATGAACCAAAGGTAACTTAAGAATGCTGTTGTTACGTAACCACATCTACATTGGTATCAACTCTATAAGATCATTAAAATAAAACGTGTAAAAAAGTACAAGTCCTTTCAATTAATTAAGTCTTGTTTACATATTATGGCATGGTCAACATAATAAATTAAGACTATTATTAAGTTCTATAGATCTTTTTTCAATTATAATATATTGGGGGAATATGCATCAATTATTAAAATACTTATTTAAAAATTGGCTCACTGCTAAATCAAATTTACAGTTCATTCCACCTATCTTAATTTTTAAACTGACAAATCATTCCCATATAACTATCTACTGCCCATACTGCAATCCTCTACCTAAACCAAAAAAAACTAACCAAAACCTTGATGATTAACAAATTCATCAGTTGGTAAAACACACTTGTACATGGCAAGATAATGCTACTTCAAAATAAATATGAAGCAGTACAAAGATTTAAAGGAATAAATACATTTAAAATATGGTATAACAATTCCTTAACACCAATTCACAGCATAGTTAAAAACATGTTGCAAACAAATTATACAAATAAAAATAAGTTTAAAACCACTTATGATTTATAAGAACACTGAAGCATCGGTTTAAGTTAAAGTTAATGTATGCCTCTAGGGAAACAAAGGGAACATAGCATAGCACTAACAGGGTAAAAAGAGGTAATGAATAAGAGAGGAATGAGTTATAATGTTGGAGTACACAACGCAAAAATATAACAGTAACAAGATGAATTAGTAGGGTGTTTTGTTTTAAAAGTTTGATTTTAAAAACTTAAACAACCTTCCTTTCTAAATTCTTCTCACAGGGCTTAAATGAAAGTTCAAATCATTGTTCATTATGAATAAGAATTACTTTACTGATAACAGCTTTGGAATCAGATATGAATTGATAATTATTGGGAAGTGACATTTCAAAATAATTCAGAAGAAGGGTAAACTGAAAATTCTTTAATATTAAAAGCGGACAAGAGTTTAATTTTTTTTTAAATCTTAATCCATTTTTTTTAAAGTTAAAGTCTTTTTTAGTATGGGGGTTCACCAGAAATAATTGGTTTCTCAAGCCAAACATTTTTAAAAAATATTTTTCACAATGATAAATTATACAGTTTTAAAGGTCGCTTCCATATTCTGTTTTGAATATGGGATAAAGGTTAGTGGCTGAGCTTCAAGGTATAAGACGTCACATATTTTATAGAATGAGAAATTAACTTTTAATTACCTTATACATTTGAAACTGTTCTGGTGCGCGTCAACATTGTAAAATAACATCAGCACATTATGTCCAATTTTAAATTATATTTTTTAGAACACATCCAAGTAAAATAATATGCACCATTAAATAATCAAGTAAAAGTCTTCTTGTTAATGTTTGTAGATGCCTCTAGTTCAATTGCTAAATTTTGTGTGTCGCTCCATTTCACTTGCTAAACTTTGGGTTTGGTGGTTTACTTGCTAAATTTTGTGTATATCTCCATTTCACTTGCTAAATTTTGTGTATATCTCTCATTCACGTGCTGAACTTAGTATGTGCTTCTTGTTCACTTGCTAAACTTTGTGTGTCTCCAGTTCACTTGCTAAACTTTGTGTATGTCTCTAGTTCATTTGCTAAACTTTGTGTGTGCCTCTATTTCTCTTGCTAAACTTTGTATTGGCCTCTAGTTCACTTGCTAAACTTTGGGCGTGCTTCTATCATTTGTCTCCGCTTTCTTGAGGGCATTTTTGCTAAAACCAGTAATGGAAGACAGCAGGGCTCCTCTTGCTCCTGGGGCAGCAGGAGCAGACCCTCCTGGGGATGGTGGTGGTGGTGGTCCTGCTGGGGGTGGAGGAGGGGGAACTGGTGCTGAGGGTGGTGGTGGTGGCGGGGGTGGTGCGATAGATGGACCTGAAATAGACAATAAAATATTAGAAATGAAATACATTGCTTACGTCTCTTTTTTTGTTTTTTTTTTGTAAAGAATAAATTTCAACAAGTTCAAAATAATGCCAGTCTTGAACTTCTACAATTTTTTTTACATTTTTTTTTAGTATTGTTTTATATATATTTTTTTATATATTTTTTTAAATAAGAGAATAAATTGTGCTGTTTACTGTAGTATTAAAAAGAACATGAATATTCACAGATTAACTAATTAAGAAACTACTGGCATCTACATGCAGTCTGCTACTTCTGTATTAGATTTTCTGGTTATAAGCTAAAGTAAATTATAACTACACAACAACCTAACAGAGATATAAGAAATGTGCTGAAATAAAAAAAACTTTATAAATGAAAAGGTGTTTATTAAACAGAAATTATTCAAATTAAATCAATTGAAGATAAGTTATTGGTGCAAAAATTAGCCATTCTGAAATAAGCAATTTTTAAAAATGTAACATTCTTTTCAACAAATGTTTAATGAGAGAAAATTCAGCCTTCAATATTTATACAGCAGTAATTAAATTAACTCAAAGGGTAACATAAAAAAAAATAATATCGAATTAAATTTTCTATATTTATCTGATTTTCTTAAAGTTATAATTCACTCAACATTTACAAATTCTCACTTATAAACTAAACAAGTTAAAAATCTTGATATAATTAAAACTATAAGCTTAAGCAAAGCAATCTTAATATAAACTATTTGTTATATCCACAAAAGTTTTAAACAGTCTCTTTTATTTACTTTGATTTGTTCATTTAACTGGTTTTCTAATGGACCTTCACCACATCAGTTTTTACTTCCTCATACAAAAAACCCAAGTTATAATTGTTATCGCAAAATGGGTGTTAGTAATCTGGCACTTTAGGTATTAAGTATACATGTGTATGAATATAATGTGTATGTATATGTATATATTTATTGCTTCTCTATAAATAGACTGTTCAAACTCCAATTTTCAAAATGGCTTGCAACAAGGCTTTAAAGCTTTGTTTTCCTTATCAATTCTATATTAATCTTGGTGACTGCCATAATTTCTTTTTTAGCATGATGCTTTGGTGATTTCAGAAAATAATGGTGTAGAAATAAATATATATTAATAAATTGAAAAATAAGAGTTATAGGGTTAGTTTTACAACTACAGTAACTGATTGTGGATTGTTTCACTTTTGATAATTAAATGTAATATACCAATACAACGTTATGAAAGCATTATGAAAGCAACATTTCAATAGAGACAGACAGAGTGTAGCACACAAAAAGACTCGCTAATGAATACAACAGAAGGACCGCAGAAAGTAAAAAGACTAATACATCGGTGCCATAGCAAGAGGCATTTCATATCTCAAGATTATAAATATAGCAACATATAGCAGCTATTCCATTCCAGCATTCTTCTTCTAAGTAGTAGGCCTTTTTTTTTTAAATAATTTTTCACAAAATTGGTAACAATCATATTTATCTAAATGTAAGTGATTTTGAAAAAAAAAATGATAAAAACTATGTATTTAAATTTTTTTAAACAAAACTAATACATTTTTGATGAATTTTATGTTTTGAATTGATGTTCCCCTTAATAAAATATTACTTAACTTTTTAATGACATCTGGTAGTTTTATTTATTTATTTTTCTGTGTTAAATTACATTTATGACACTTCAACTTGAAATTAATTTTTTTATCAGTGTAAAAAAATGCCATCAAAATTAATTGTACGTTCAACGTAACTAGAAGAAGTTAGTCACACACTGAAGGATTAACTTGAAACACGTACATGCAATTATTAATTGATAAAAAAATTAAAATAACAGGCACTGGGGAACAGTTCCCACAGTCTGGTTAAAACAGAACTGAACACCATAACAACAACAACCCAGCTATGAATGACATACAGTGTACCTAGGCAAAAAAACAATGCTTTGACCTTGACATTTGCTGTCAGGGCAGGGCGTTCATCTCAGGCCTACTGCTGTGGCATTCACCAGAAACAAAAGGGTTAAACATGTTAGGGTTGCATCAAACATTGGCCTCTATAGAGTTAACCAGGCTAACTTTGCTAAATCTCCACAATAGAAGGTTAAAAAATGTAATCTCATTCCAATACATTGTTAACACTATCTCTGATGTTTTGCCTAGTTTGAAATAAACCTCTGCCACTTAATAAAAGCAAAGTCTAATACAAGTTTCATCTTAATTACAGCTACATTTTTAAAACTACGCATTTGAAATGTATTAAAACCTAAGTTATAATTTTGAATTACTTCGTAACTTTTAAAATTTTTAACTGAATTTCCTTCAAATATTTCAAAACCATACTGACTGTAATTAGTAATTATGTTAATTAAAACTATCAAAATAAGAATTTAAATCTGCATTTAAATCTGCACCCTATTCCTCCATTATTGTTTTTAAAATAAAAGCCAAAAGCTTACAATCACACTGATACATACACTTAGAACAGGAAAATAATATGTCCAACTTTATGTCAAAATTGTCCAATGTAAATGAAATATTATGGCTTTTTTTTTTTAAATTCCGTTATTTTTTAACACGCTTGTTTCTTAATATATAAGGGCACAGGTATGTAGCAATATCATTTAAGACTATTGCAAATATTTATTCTATTGCTTACTACTAAGACTGTCAATAGTTTTCTGTTTCTAAGTTAATGCAAAACTGGCAAACTCACACATGTGAACAGAGAATACTTTTGTGAGTACAACTATATATTTAAAAACAAAAAAAAAACTCTCAATAAACAAAAACAGCAAATAACAATAAATCTAAACATATTTAAATAATTAATAAGTAAATGTTAGCGTTATGTGTTGGAAAGACAAAAATCTTTTTAAAAGTTTGAACGGAAGTTTTAGTAATTTTACTTTCAAATATATTGAGTACTGGTCTTTAAAAAATAATAAATAAATAAACAAAAGCTAGTTTAAAAAAATACAATGCACCCATAAACTTGTTACCACTTTAAAACTAAAAGAATGAAAAACAGTTTTTAATGAAATGCAGCTGCAGTCAAGGTATCTGCGTAAAACTGAAAGACTTGTTAAAGATATGTAAATTGAGAAACATTGAGTACCTGCAGGTGAGGGTGTTGTTGGTGTTGGTGGTGGGGATGAAACTGATGACGTCGTACTCTGGTTGCCAGACTTGGTGGAATCTGAGTTGCCGTTTTCTAAAGCTTTCTGAAATTGGTCAATTCGTATGTGTTATTTTTATATCTTGAAGTGCAAAACTGAACAACGATGAACATTACAAGTCAACAAGCAGCCTAAGATAAAATAACATTATAACACTAGTAATAAAAATAATAAAAATGTTATAACGTTTTGAAAATCAGAGAATGACTGCATCATTTTAATTACCTTCCTGCTCTTCCTTCTTTTCTTCTTTTCTTCCTCTGACATGTGAAACTCTTTAGCTTTGGAAATCCTTTGTACTTGCTTGAGCTGAAAACATAACTACCAGTTAGCAGCCTTATACTTAGCTTTAAAAATACATGACAGAAATTAAACCAAAGAATATACGTATATTTTTTGTCATTGCAAAAAATCCACTATATGAGCTAGGAATAAGTCAATTTACATTTTGAAAGCAAGAAGAGTTCTAACAATGAGAATCAACAATACTGTGGTAGAAGGGTTTACATTTTTCAGTTTTAAAAAATATAAAAAGCTTTAAAATAGGTTTATGGAAAAATAAAAAAAGTAAAAGGGGCAGTTAAACTGAAGAGCTCACCAGCTTCTGGTCACTCTTTAATCGGCTCTCTATCTCCTCCTTGGCTGCTCTGACTATCTCTTTCAATTTGCTGGGAATTTTCAGCACTGGTTTATTCACAAAGGGAGGGAAGGAAACATCACTGAACAGCCTGGTGTAGAAATTATAAGTAATGATTAGTGGAGGAACTACTCATACTACTTTTAATAAACAAAAAAAAGAAAATATTGAGGTAATGGAAATGGTAGTAATATTTTAGATAGTTTTAAGATACATATATTAACAAAAGCGTAAATTTGCACATTATGAATACTATGTAAGGAAATAATATTTTTGTGATTATTTGTGTATTTTATTTTTTAATATACAATAGTTTACCCATACAATATTTTTAATACTTTTTTCCTACAAGTCTGCCATTTAAATACTATCTTAGGAAATAATATTTTTGTGTGTGTTTGTGTATTTTATTTTTTAAATACAATAATTTATCCACATCATATTTTTACTACTTTTTTCTCAATAAGTCTGCCATCTACTGAAAGTTACAAGCCAACATAAACATTAAAAACCCTAAAAATGGCAATTGTCTGTAATGGGAAGGCAAGGTCAGATAGTAAAGTGCTTAATAGCTAAACCTAAAGTTTGAGTTCAAATCCTGGGCCTAAGTCAGTAGAATGCTCTAATGGGTACTTGACGCACATTAGGGAGAGTAGAGACAAATGGGTAGAACGCTGAAAACAATTATCTCTTCATAAACCAAAGCAAAAGTAACAGATACACTCTACTTCATCTTCCCAATTAAAACAAATATCTAAGATGTGTACTTTTTGTGATTTAATTTTTATAGAATGTGTGAAATGAACATACGGATGAGATAACAAGTCTGTGACAGAAGGGAGACCATTCTTGCAGGCTTCAGATGTCAATATAGATTCCAATACAGAACCTGAAATAATATATTCATGATATGAGTCATTTGCCAATGAGGGCAACCAAACTCATGAATAAAACTTTAAAAACTTGTTATTTTAAACAATGTAAGACAAAAATATGTTGGCTTTAATGGTTCAAACTGTTTACACTCCTTATAACACTAGACTTTTATATTTGTGTAGAGGGGATGGAAGCAGGCGTTGTTACTGAAATAGCAATATTAACAGAAAGTGATATTTCAACGCCAAGTCTAGACAAAGGTACAGAATATAGTCCAAGTAGAGACAGAACAGTCAAAACCAGAGGGGTCCGAACCAGCCTATTCACGCGGCACCAAATCGCCTCGCCGTCCATGCATCAAGTCAGACGTGTAACCGTTTCTGCCAATCAGCTCTACAAAAAATAAAGCTTTCAAGGCAGACCACTATCATGGCCCATACATAGACGACGCGGGCAGGCGTGACCTCTGACCCCCAAGGCTTTGACCGTTAGACTCATACACACAACAAGGACTAGTATTTGACCTCACAAACGACACAAGCACAGGTACAATAACACAGACAAATAGTAGCTTCCTATAATGGGTAAATGTAAACGTGTAGAGGGGATGGAAGCAGGCGTTGTTACTGAAATAGCAATATTAACAGAAAGTGATATTTCAACGCCAAGTCTAGACAAAGGTACAGAATGGAGGGGATGGAAGCAGGCGTTGTTACTGAAATAGACTTTTATATTTGAGCAGCACATTAATGGTACAAGGTGTTTACTCTCGATGACTTACGTATTTGAGCAGGGTATTAATGGTTCAAATTGTTTACACTCCTTATAATGCTTGACTTATGTATTTGAACTGGGCATTAATGGTTCATATAGTTTACACTCCTTTTAACACCAGATATGTATTTGAGCTGGGCATTCAGCAGGACACTTGACTTACATATTTGAGCGGGGGGATTAATGGTTCAAATAGTTTACACTCCTTAGAACCCCAGACTTACGTATTTGAGCAGGGCATTCAGCAGGACACTTGACTTACATATTTGAGCGGGGGGATTAATGGTTCAAATAGTTTACACTCCTTAGAACCCCAGACTTACGTATTTGAGCAGGGCATTCAGCAGGAAACGTATCACAAGTAGCTGTGGTCAGCTGGTTGCCAAAAGCCATTTCATACAGCACATGACCAAAAGAGTAAACATCAACCATTTCCAAAGTCTGTGGGTTGGCAACAGTCATTTTTAAAGCAAACAATTTAATAGTTTAAAAAAAAAATGTTTTTTAAATATTTTAAAAATTTAATAGGCCTCATTTACCAATTTTTAGCACATATTGTTGAGGTACAGAAATAAATAAAACATGTATTTAACGAGTAAACATCAACCATTTCAAAAGTCTGTTGATGATCAAAAGCAACTTTAACGATAAACAACTTAAAAATTACAATCAAATTTTTGTTTCAATTTGCTTTTTCATTTAACAGTATTATGCATATGATGTTTTGAGTACAGAAATGAATAAAACACATATAATGAGCCTCACCTGGACCTTTTTTAACTGGGTGTAAAATGCCCTATAGTATCCAGGTAGACCCATCAGACTGTTCTCCAAGTCTAGCAGCTGACATGTGTTGTTCACCACAACAACATTCCCAGCATGCAAGTGACCTAGATTAAAACACCATAAAAGACTTAAGATTGATAATTGGTTAACAAAATGCTTAGTTTTTCAGTTCTATTTCAATGCATTGTTCACTTTTTTTTTTAATTTTACTTTAATGACTATTTAAAATCAGTAAATTTGTTAATGTGGGAAGCATGGCTAAATGGTAGAGCATTCAATCACTAATGAGAAGTTAGATTATGTTCCACATTTGGCTCAATAGGATGTAGGTTACTGACTCCACCTTGCTAAAATGGATACCTAACTCTGGTCAGGGAAATTAATTACAGACAGCTGGGCATAGTGCTGACTATACAAAGCTCTCATATGCCAAGTTAAGAGAAACAGATAAGCTCTTCTTCATCTGCTCTATAGACTGTTCAGTTCATACTTAATAAAATATGAAGGATGAAATCGCGACACATTTTTATGCTTCTTACATAAATTTTAATGTTATTCATAGTTGTCTGATATTTTACTTTACGCAAGTTAAATAACATTTTTTAAAAAATCATTTAAGTTTCCTTACCATAAGGAAAGCCCTTTTCTTGTAAAAATTTAAGAGCTTCCAATATCTGTTTCCCATAGATCTTTATGGTCCCAAAATCTAATCTCACAACACTTTTAGGGTTTGAATATTTTTTTAAGTAGCTTCCTTTAGGCTTGCATTTACAAACAACGTCACGCAGGGAACCACTTTCTAAGAAGTCTCTTATGACCATGCATCCGTTTTCATTTGCAATAGATGAAAGTGTAGGGAAAATATAAGGATGCTGAAAAACATTATTTTAAAACATTAACAAACCAAAAATATGTACCGAAATCAATGGATTAAATAGAGAAAATAAACTATTATATTTAAATTGTTTAAGCCGATTAAAAAAATAAATAGCAATGTTTTTAAAAGCACCTTGATTGTTGGGAGAACTCTGATTACTGCACTCAAGTCTTTAACGAGGAGGTACATATCAGGACCATACTCCATCTAAAACAAAAGTAAATAAAAGCCAATTAATAAGGATTATTTTATTAGGCACAACAGAAGATTTAAATTCATTATTTGTGAGTACCGACCCAGGAGAGAATCTGACGAACTTTAGGTTGAGTGACCGGCTTAATTAGAATATAGTGCTTTCGTATTCTCCACCCTGCAGGAGAAAATAAAACAAATTTATACTTATACTATGAATGTATGTTTCTGTACTTTCTAAAGTGTATTCAAACCAATGTTTTGTTCACCTATATCAGGTAGTGGCTCCACAACTTCCCAGTTAGGCTCAGATCGGAAGATCATGGAAACATGCTGCAATGCTATTTCTGCGGGAGAGAAAAACAAAAGGTATATTTGAGGTTAAACTTTCCTACATAATTGTGAAATCAATAACGTGTGTGTTAATTTTATGTTTTCTTTAATCAAAACAATACATGTTTTTTTTAATGTGACAATCAGAAACCTAAATGAATTTTGAAATGCAAAGTATATAGTTATATGTATTAATCTCTCAATCATTATTTATTTAATGAAGAGTGTATTGGTTTGTTGCTCATTATAGAATTACATTAAAACTAAAATTAAAATTATGTAAAAGAAAACAACCAAAATATAGATGAAGTAAATAGCTTGAGACAATGTGGGAAAAAAACAAGAAGCAGGATAAATTTGGCCCTTTATGCATTTATCCATCTTAAACCGACTTGGAAATCTACGCACATCTAAAACTTAAATCTTTAACTCCAATGAGATAGCAGCCCTAATTTATGGATCTAAAAACTACAGAACTTATACAACATCGAAAAGGATCCAGATCTTATGTCTAAGAAATCTATTAAACATACATTGCTGTAACTCAGTAGAAAATACAAAACTGCCGTAGGTAGGTAAGAAAGCTTTTGAAACACAAATCCTGGAATGAAAGTGGCAACTGAAACACTCTCAATAAGGATTCCAACAGCAGAGCCAGGGCAAGTAACACAGAGGATGACCCAAGAAAAAAATAGGGGACACAGCAAACTGAATGGGGCTGAGTAGAGAAAGCCTAAGAGTTAAGAGCTTTGACATAGCCCCTATGTCCCACTAGGAACACAAAGTATTATTGAAGATAACACTATATTTTGGTTTAAGATACTCTTTTTCTTTACGGAAAACACAATTTACATTTAGAATTTTAAAATGATTCCCAATATATATATATATATATATAAAAATTACCTAAAAAGTTTGAAGAATAGTTGTTGAGGTCCAGAAACTTCTTAACCACAATGTTGTTGGCTATCACAGGTATGTTTGTTATGGCATTTAGGTAAGACTAGGAAAAGAAAAAAAAAAAAATTGAAACTATTGCCAACAAGTCTATCCATCAAATAAATTTGAATTAATAAATTTTAAAAAAAGTATATCTATATCCATATCCATCCATCCACCCACCCATCTATCTATCTATCTATTTATCTATCTATATATATATATATATATATATATATATATATATATATATATATATATATATATATATATATATATATAAATTATATGGATAGATAAAGAAATTTTGAAAACTTGATGTCACCTGTAAACCATTTTGTCTCTCTGCTATAAAGTCTCTGTCAAAGTTCCCAAAGACTTTCTTTGGAGGGAGTGGCAGGTCAACATTAGTTACACGCAGTTGGGCATCAAGCTTCTCAAAGTCACTGTATCTCTTTATTACTTGCCATGAGTGATCCCGAAGGGGCCCTCTTTGAACACGTATTATGTACTCCTAATAAAATAAAGCACCTTTAAGGATTCTAATTTTAAAACTGCATACAGCTTTAAAAATTACAATTGACAAAATGGAATTTTTTTTTATGTAGCAAGTAGGCTAAAAGCAGTCAGAATTATATAGAGTATAAAATTTTATGAGCCATCTGTTTAGCAATCTATATATATAATTCTCTTCATGGGGACTGAATTACTGAAAAATAGGAAATAAAACATCTAAAACAACGTCAACTCACGCGGCTCCGCAAAATATGATGTGTCGGTCTAATGAAAGGAGGTGAACGGGGAAAAATACCTAGGTGATTGATGAAGCACCTCTATAATGCTATGTTCAATCAAAATAACAATATATAAGCATAAGTATACGTATACCTTGCTCAAAACGAATCATTATACATGTTGCAAGCCTTCTAGTTTAAGACGTTTGGCAAAACGGCCTCAACACATTATCCCCGGCGAAAAGGCGTGTCACCAAATGCATGCTGGCGAATAAGCCGCGTCTAATGTGGGGCATTAGGAATACGGCAATTAGCATGGGCCGCGTTAGAGCACCAGTAGGCTATCGCGCTTTGTAAGATGACGTAAATACTTCAATTCAATTTTGCGAAACTGCACGAAAATTTAGTAATGTTCCATCGTTTGAGGAAATATTTTTTTCTTGGACTTAAATTGAAATATGTTGACAGTCTGACTGTTAATTTTCGAATACCATATAGATCTATACTATATGCAGAAGTATGGACTATTACTAGTCTACAGGTAGGCTATACATTACAAAAAAGTTTCCTTGTTTCATTTATGTACCTGTTTTTAAACAATTGAATTTAAAACATTTCCGTAATAAATTAAGACTTAGCGAGATTCAGGGGAAGCCACTCTATTTTACAAATGGCTGCTGTTTATATAGCAAATCTTGCTCTCAGACACTGCTGTTTAAAGTTAATTTCTGGCCTATATTGACTATTATATTTAGTAGGGAGGCTCACTAACTTAAAAGCGTCCTTGGTTGCTAACCAGAACATGGCGTAAGGATCGGACCATGACTTCCGGCGAGTTTTTCGACTTAGTTCCAGAGACCTTCTTAGAATTACTTTTAAAAATGTTTATCACGAGTAAAATGGCGGGTTTTCACGTTATAAAAACATGCTATAGGTGGCAAGGCTAAATATGCCAGAAAAGCATTTTCAGAAATTGCTTTGAGGAATGTAGGCTAAATTTAAAGTCGGTGTCATTCAAAATAATTTAACTTTTTAAATATAGATTTCCCTCTCACAAAATTGATTTCCATAGTAAAGCATTATTAGTTTTATCATTCTATGAAAAAATAAATCAAATATCTTCAACCGTTTTTTTATAAGATCGACCGAGAAATGACAACCACATTTTTTTTATTTTTTTTGACCACGTGACCGCTATTTGAATGGATACGTTTACCTGGCATGGTTTTTTATTTTGCTCTTTTGTACAATAAAAAATGTCATAAAATTAAAGAAATAAAAGAATTCAAAAATCACTTCTGTCTTGTCTTTTTTTAAATTCTTTTCTGATGACATTCTCTTAAATTTTTTTCCTCTAAAAATATTACCCGACGATAGACGGGCCAATTCTACTTTTAGGAACTCTCTTGTGAAAAAAAATTAGATCTATTTCACGGTCACTTAAAAAGTTAAACCTTTCAACTTTTAACCAGGTTGTCATGGATGATCCGTCATATCATAGCTGTGAGTGACAAATAAATTTAAAATTCAATAATTTAGTCTAAACTCGCTACAACCCCCAAATTTAGTGCCTAGAGGATAAAGTATGGACGTTTTTTATTCAGTTGTCATGTTTAAATTGAGAATTAAGTAGATTTCACAAATAGTAAGAAAAACTAATATTTAGCCATTGATTTAGGTTTATTATTCATTTATCTATAATATTTGACACAAACATATCACAATATACTTCTATTAAAGCCTTGACAATGAGGTAACGTTTTCGTACATTAATAGCGGGCGATTTTACGTACCCAAAACGATAGATTACCGAAATTTTTACTCACCACATGATCGTCTTTTTTCTGAGCTGTCTCAATCGAACATGACAACTGAGTTGTATCGTCCAATGTAACTTTGTTAGATTTTCTCTGCTCGAACACGTTTGCCATTTTAATATAGCGCAGTAGTAGATCTTAAATTCAAAATATGGGACGAATTAACACTATTATCATTATAGTTCTAGGATATCAACAAGATTGTCTTCATACGTCGCCATTTACGAGTTCACTTCTCAGAAATGACAACACAAGACTGACAAGAGGGGCGTATGACAATGTTTATGTCGTAATCGCTCACAAATGCAAAAACCAATTGAAATAATTTTAGACCCTGGATCTAATCTAAATTGTGGTATTAATTTCTGTGTTCTCTTGTTCGTTTTTTCAAAAAGATTTATTAGTAGATTATGAGGCCTAACTAGATATAGATCTATATCTTTATTGGCCGATTCTAGTCGGAATAAGATACGTATGCGATACGCATGCGCAATGGAGAGAAACTACGACTTAGCGGCGATGTTTTCGATGGTACTGCGCATGCGTGTGTTTACAACCGCAGAACCCTAATACCAACCCTAATCCTATCCTTAACCCTATCCCTAATCCTATCCCTAACCCTAACCCTAACCCTAGCCCTAATCCTATCCCTAATCCTATCCCTAACCCTATCCCTAATCCTACCCCTAACCCTCATTCTAGCCCTAACCCTAGCCATAGGTCACTGCGCATGCGCAGAACTATCTTTTGCCGAAAAATCTTATTCCGAGTAGACACTTCGATCTTTATTTTATTTGTTTGCGGTAATCATGTCGTAATTTTGAAGGTCTAGATAGGGCCTAGGCCTACATCTAATTCTTGACCTAGAAATCTAGTATTGTTTTCCGCAAGATGTCTGCGTCCTGGACAATGTGAAAGTTATATTTTAGTAAATCTCAACTTGATAAATTCGTTGTAGAATATATCTATATTAGTTTAGATCTAGATCTATTATTTAGTCCTCTCGTGAGTAATTGATTTTTTATTACAATACTTTCTTACATTTTATGCATTTTAAAGCAAAGTTCCCCTTTCATTCCAAACGAACCGAGGCCTAGGAGTAGGATTGTCACGTGAATATTGAAATTTAAAAAACGAAGTGACTAGAATATAACTAGATCTAGATCTACAACGCATAACGCAGGTTGGATTTGCCATCTTGTAATTAAAAATGCTTACTTTTTCCTTTACCAACACATTCAGTGTTGATGAGTCAACAGTGTACTAGCTGTAACTGAAGCTCCGAGTTGAACCCGTGGTTACTAGTTTTTCTCACTAAATCTAGAATCTACGCAATTTTCAATTTAAACATGACCACTGAATAATAGACATACATATTTAATCCATAAGCCACTAATTTTGAAGTTTTTAGTTCGTTTTAAACTAAATTACTTAATTTAATATTTATTGACACTCACTGCCATGGCCAACACATCTCTCCATGACAACTCTTCTAACCCTTGAAGGTAAAGAAAACCACAAATTAGCTAGGCCAATGCCGCTGCCGAGAAAATCGGACAAATCGGCTTTTCCCTACCCCTGCACGTTTAACTCTGTTTTTTGCATGCTTTTATTGTGTTTATATTAACATGTTATACATCATTCTGTTCGTAATTGAATAACCTTTTTAACTGTATAAGTTTGATTTCTGTATTATTTCAGACGTTGAAGAAATCGCCGATTAAATCGCATTTTTTACCCTCCGCGGCGACGTGCCGATTAGGGGGGAGGCTTTTTCACCTTTTTAAAAGGGGGGTGTTACTTGGAGTCTATAGACTCTGTGAGGTTTCGTACTACAACTGTGAAACTTGGTAGAAGAATAGATTAAATGTACACGTATAACGCTCAGGGTTCTTGGTTAAAATATGTTAAATACTTTCGGAGATTTCAGACCGCAAAGTTAAACTAAGTTATTTGAGCTATTTATGGATCGATTTTTTATTTGAACCCTGAGCTGTATTCCTGAAATCTCGACGTTTATTAATATGTATGATATGTCCTATAAGGCCCTATAATAAGGACGTCTATAGACTTTGAAGTGGACCGAAAATATAAACACGACGCGCCGACCGCTGTCTGACTGAACCGCCCTGCTGTGCTTCAAATCGCCGTCTTTAACCTGATGACGCGTTACGAAATGTGTATACACGTATCGAGTTTACGTACTACAACAGTTAAATTTGGCAGACGAATACATTAAATGTAGACGTATAACGCTCAGGGTTCGTGGTCAAAATAAGTTAAATACTTGTGGAGATATCGGACCGCAAAGTTTAACCAAGTTTCCCGGTCTATTATTGGACATATTTTACTTTTGAACCCTGAGCTGTATTCCCGAAATCCCGCCGTTTATTTTAATGTATGACATGTATTATAGCACCTCGTAATAAAGCCGTCCATACATTTTAAAACCGAACGAAAATAAAAATTAACGCGTCGGCCGCCGTCCGACTGATTGGTGATCTACACATCGTGTGGCACAGCCGAGTGTGTGGTCACGTGACGCTAGGCGCTTGGTCCGATTGGATGATACTATAAACAATGTCTAAAGATAGATACATGTGTTCCCGTGTTTGACTCGACGGCTATTGCTACTTTATATTTATAAGCACACAGACATGTTGCATAACTTTGTCTTAACCCATTGAAACGTCAAACAAAAGTTTTGTTAGTATTTACGGCTGAGGACTAATCGTCAAAATTAATCTTCTTTAGAAATTAATCCGAATAGCTTCGGCCCGATCAAACAATGCTGTGATGTGCTTGTGTTTCGTGTAACGTTTCATTATTGTGTACATTACATTTTCGTAAAAATGGCTTTAAAAAAAATTAAATTATATCCGGGGCTCTTTTCTACAAATTTTAATACCACTAACAACGTGTGGGTTACTAGCTTGTCAAATCGACCAAAATGGGGTGGGGTGGATGGGGGTAGCCACTGACCATCCTACACCGTATGTAACACCCATAACCTCACCCCACCCCACTAGTCCGTGACGCGACAAGCCGACGAGCATCGCTTTTGATGTTGTATAACACCCGTACGGTACACGGTGGTTTCATACCCCACCTCTCTCCCCCTTCACTTTGTGGAGTTGATGTTACTAACCCTCGGGCATAGATCAGGAAATCTTGCCAGACTTTTGTCTCTAAAATTACATAATATTCATCTGACACGTTCATCGGGTTGGCCGACTAGCCTATCCAGCGGTCGTGTTTACGTAATAGGGCAATAAAATTCGTTGGTCAGAAGACCTAGTTACCCACATGTCTGATTGAACTAAATCTAGGCAAAAGCTGGTGGTGGTACACGTGTCTGTGTATAGCCAAACACGGTGACTGTGTTTAGCCAAACACGGTAATCTTACACAATTTCTAGATTCTACTAGATCTACACAGTCCACTCAAACAGGTGCTTTTTTCTTAAGAAAGTTGTTAATTGTAAAAGGCCTACTGGTAGGTTCACAAAATACATAAACCTACTTACTACTAGCATAAACATTGGGCATAAATATAAATTTGTTATATATCTATAACTTAACTATACCTTGTGCAAGTTTTTAAAAAAAATATTTTCCTCCAAAGTTTATTTTATTGACATTGTAAAAATGATTAACTTTAATATGGGTAATAATATTACGTAATTACCATAAAGCACACTCTGATTCTGATCAAACACATTTGTAACTAGACTAATTCTATAGCAACAAGGATTAAGATATTTAAAATAACAAGAAATATAATTATAATGAGATAGGCCTTTAATTTTGGAACAGAGTAGGCCTATAGTATTGAACATAGATTACATAACATCTTTTAAGAAGTTACATAATCACAAATTTACTATAGCATTCTTTTCTTTGTATTGAAAAACTTGATTAGTTATATTTTCTTCTAGTAGGCTATTAACTTGAAGTTAACTGACAATGAGCAAAAGTGATTTTAAAACAAATTCATGCTATATTTTGAGCAAAGGGTGGGATTACATAACCTTAACATTTGATAGTTATGTAACAATGTTGGACCATTTTAAATCTACCATTAGCTTGAGCATATACAAATGTCATATTTTAGATTAAAACAGCATTACATTTAAAGAATGACTTCTTATCACATTGATTATTAGATGTTTAAAAAAAATTGAAAGGGGGGTATTACATAATCTATGAGATTAGTAGGTTGAGTAAACGAATGACACTTTTTAAAATAGCATCATTGGATTCAGCATACAAAAATCTATAAAATGTCTTAAAATTACATCAATTGATAAAGTATTCTGGATTTTATACGACTTTTAGTGAAAAACGCTTAAAAATTTGGTCCATACCCTCCCAGTATTTTTCCTCTTTCAGGGTCTACCCTGGTTGTCTGAAAAAACTGCTGTTTTTTAATGACTAAAAAATTCATAACTTTTTTGTTTATGGTCAGATTTTGAAAATTCAAACTGATCTGTAATCATATTGACAGCCCCTATCCAAATATGTAACTATTATATTGTTTTACTGAAATTAAATTTTTGCATTGGCCTAGCTACACAAATGCGATTAGACTTTTTAAGTGGCCATGTACCCAGAGTTCCCCACTAGTGATCATCAAATAGAGGTCACGTGGTTTTTAAAATATAAAAAATTTGGTTGTCATTCAAAAGTCGTGTCTTATTTTAAAAAGCGCATGCAATATTTGATTTATTTCTTCATATAATGATAAGCCTTATAGTTCTACAACCTCCAATTCATTTTTGTGACCTCCGGGCTGACATTTTAGAAGTTCTATTAATTTTAATGAGACCGACTTTTAAATTTAGCCTTCATTCTCCAAAGCAAATTTTAAAACGCTTTTCTGGCATATTTAGCCTTGCCACTTATGGCTTGTTGTTATGACACGGAACTCCCGCCATTTTGCGCGTGGTAAACATTTTTAAATGCAATTAGTTGAAGGTCTCTGGAATTTGGCCGAAAAATCGCCGGAAATCAAACGTCCGGTCCGGGCGCCATATTGTTGTTAGCAACCGACCACGCCTCCAAGTTAGCGAGAAATACTAGTGGTTACTGATACTGGTGTCTTTTTTTACATTTTAATTTTTTGGTAATCTATCGTTTTAGGTAGGCCTACGTAAAATCGCCCGCGACTAGTAATGTGAAAAACAGGTGACTCCTTAAATTTTAATAATTATTTCACATTTACATGGCCCCTAAAGAATAGTATTTCTCTCTAACTTGGATGCGTGGTCGGTTGCTAACAACAATATGGCGCCCGGACCGGACGTCTGATTTCCGGTGATTTTTCGGCCAAATTCCAGAGACCTTCAACTAATTACATTTAAAAATGTTTACCACGCGCAAAATGGCGGGATTTCCGTGTCATAACAACAAACCATAAGTGGCAGGGTTAGATATGCCAGAAAAGCATTTTAAAATTTGGTTTGGAGAACGGAGGCTAAATTCAAAAGTTGGTTTCATTAAAATTAATAGAATTTAAAAAATATCAACAGTGTAGGTACAGAAATGAGCGAGAACGTAAAGCATTATTAGTTTTATCAGTCTATGAAAAAAGAAATCAAATATTGTGAGCTGTTTTTTTATAAGACCGGCGTCCGTATCACAACCAATTTATTTTTATTTTTTAAAAACCACGTGACCGCTATTTGGTGATCACTAGTGAGGAACTCTTGTGCATGGAGTCTAACCTGATTTGTGGTTTTCTTTAGCTTCAAGCTTAAGAAGAGTTGTCATGGAGAGATGTGTTGGACAGGGTAGTGATTGACAATAAATATTAAATTAACTAATTTAGTTCAAAACGAACTAAAAACTCCAAAGTTAGTGCCTAATGGATTAAATATGGATGTCTATTATTCAGTGGTCATGTTTAAATTGATAATTGCGTAAATTCTAGATTTAGTGAGAAAAACTACTAAAGAATATACTACGCTAGGGACTTGGATGACGTAGATTTTGCCCCTCTAAAAACGAGAGTTTTTTCCCCTTACCGTAACTTAGTGAATTTAGCCGTGCGGCAGTGGGTGATAATTAAAAAAAAAAAATTTCACTATTAATCACCATTGTTAATAGAAAAGTGTCACTTTATTCCGAAAGACAAATGGATCACACCGATTGCTGTGTTATTTTTGTTTTTTTCTGCTACGAGTGCGTGATGGTGTGTTTCAGGCAAAAATTTGACCTAGCAGGGAGAAGATGGAATTATCTCACTGCTCTTTCCTAAAACTTTCTCACCTCCATTAAACCATTTTGTTAGTTTTTTTTTCCATTATAGTCATACCTTAGGAAACTTTACTTTGTAGCAAACCACATTGTCACTTTAGTTTTTCCCTAAACTGTGTATGAAAAACAAACTTGGGTTCACTGTGAGTTCATATAGAGAAGAAAGCGTACATCATAAATTTGATAGTAACCACACTTATTTTTCCCCAAACCAAGCTATACGAAAACTGTGCTAAGGATCATTGTGAGTCCACATAAGCTTAGATTCATAAGGCCTATGACCATGCATGTAACTTAAGCGTTAAGAAACCTGGGTACTAACTTAATTATATGTCTCTATTTACATTAATTTTTGGTGATACAATTTCTTGATTTTTTTTTTATGAATTCAAGATCTTGACTGACAAAATTTTCTTGCCAGTCTTTTTTTTTTCTTCTTGGTAGTTAGTCATTGTAAAAATCTGCTTTCTAATTAAAAAAAATAAACCGGGAGTAATCTCCCCTAAACTTTCTCGAATATTCTTATATAACTTGGAATGTAGACATGATTTTTAATTACTTAAACTTTTAAAAATAGAATAGAATCTCATAGAAAAAAGAATATTATTAGTACTTTATAAATTTACATGTGTTTTTTGAGAAATCGGAAATAGCATAAATTAGTACTTCCAGTCAACAGAAATTACTAAAAATTTGACAGAAGGTAGAGAATTAGATCTTTTACTTACATGTGAATTTTCATTTATCTATTTGAAATAGTACTCAAGTTAAAGGCTTTTTTTTTTTTTGAAAAATTCAAAGTAGAAAAAGTACCACTTCTGGTTATCGGAAATCGCTCAAAAGTTGATACGGATCTACGATTTTGATAAAATACTTATATATGAAATTTCATCAACCTAGCTGTAACGGTACTCAAGTAATCATGTTTACACACAGACAGACATACGGACAAGATTGAAAATTATGTTTTTCCGTATCAGTGAGGTGTAAAACGTCGAGATTTGTAAAAATCTCGATTTTTTTTTTAACGATTACAATACTTTCTCTATACTTCATACATTAGAGAAAGTAATTATATAAACAATGAAACTAAGGTAAAATTAGTTTTTGCCAAATGCATATTATAAATATAAAACCTCCCTGGTTTGATAATAATTAATCAACAATTTTTTTTTTATAGGAAAATATTTTATAAGCAGTTCACTTGTTTCTCATTTTTTATAGAGTTCATATAGAATAACATAAAGTGTAATGATAAATATAATTATGATGGACTAATTGTTGTCAACATAAAAATAAATGAAATCAGAACTAGCATTTACATTTTTTAACATAAATTGATAGAGATTCACATAATTTTTGTAGCATTACATATATAATTTATATTTATTAAAATATATCCCACATATCACATGATTCATAATGGAATTTCTTTTTTTACAGATTTTATTTACAAGGTTTTATAAAAAAATTAAAAGATGGCTTTTGTGAAGAAAGTTAATAGATCTTTTTGCACTTGTTCAATGTACTTGACACAGCCATCACGAAGAATTAGAAGTCAAATACAGGTTTTATTCCGAGACGTAGTTGATTCACAAATACTTATCCACAGAAGTATTGTCTCTCATTGCTGTTCTATTTCACGCAAACAAAATTCAAATATTTTTAATACTTTGAGGAATCATCAGTCATTACACCCTCTGATAAATTTGACATGGGTTAAATATAACAGCACTAATGTCCCGGTTGTAAGTGACATACTTGCTGAATTTGACTTAAAGCAATTAAAAGAGGAATCCAAGAAAGAAAAGACCACTACTGTAGATTCAAATGCCGCTTTTATGAATAAAGTGAAAAGTATCATTGCAGAGAAGAGTAAAGAAAAAATTGAAAATTTGAATGAGGAAGATAAGAAAAAACTCAAAGTTATTCAGTTGGAGCATAATTTTTTATATTCTGAAGGCTTCTTAATACCTGTAAGTAGTTAAATGTGTGTCTAATTTCCTTTATAAAACTTGATAAATGGTATTCACTAGAAGCTTATGTTTGCTAAAGTATATTGGCTGTAACTTTAACCCTTTATTATGTTGGGATATTTATAACATTTACTCTTTCATACATATACTCTTTTATTGTTACCTAGTGATTGTGTAATAAGCAATGCTACATTGAGTAACAATGGTTTAGAAATATTAAATATTTGCTTATTTTTATTTTTCTTAAGAGTGCTGAAGAAATGAAGGATGAACACTGGCTGGAAGCATTAAACTTGCCATCTAAAGGCAAAAGGCTTAGATTCTACTCTTTTGTTAAAAAAAGGTCAATATTAAAAGAAAATGAGAAATCAAAAAAGGCTGCTAAAAGAGCGGCAGTTGAAGAACAAGGACGTGTACTTGCAGAACCATATGAACATGGGAAATTGTTTCTACGTATCTATGATTCCACAATCAAAAAGTGAGTTTTGTTATTTTGCATCTGCATTGCTCATTTTATGCACATAAACATTTGAAATAGGAATCTAAAATGTATATTTTATGCTTTTGCTTTAACTAAAAATCTTAAGTAAAATGAACCTTGAGGTAGTGTTTGTAAATAATATTTCAAACATTTTTTAATATTTAAAAACTCGGTCATTTCAAACAGACAACAGACCTATAACCTAACAAGAAGCATGGAGTTTGGAATTCCATTGGTTATTGATATGGATTATGTGAATCACATGCCGCCTAGGGAGATAAAAAGTACAGCTACTCAGCTGATGTTGCTCTACTCACTCAACAGATCAGATGACAGACTTCCATATCACTTACATTTTACCAGCTGTCCCGAAGATAATCCAATATACAAGTTGGTACCCTCCCTTGTTTGATTAATTTGTCTTGTGGCAAATAATATTACTTTTATTTGTCTTGTGGCAAATAGTATTACTTTTATTATGCTGCTGTTTGATAGCGGGAAGTGAGGCTGTAGGATGTCCAAGAGTCCAGCCAGGTGTTGATGGGTACCAGACTTAAGTGAAGAAAAGGAAATGTGGTTGGCCATTTGCCATTACCTGCACAATAGTGCAGTAATTTTTTAAATAGTGAAAAATTAAACTTTTTTTTTTTTAAATGATTATAAGATAGAACAGAGAAGTTGATCATTTTGCTCTGACCAAGATATCAGTGGAAGTTTGAGCAGTATCAGCAAACTTTAGAAATATTTTATTGATAAATATTAGTGTATTCAGCTGGATTCATATAAAATTAAGGATGCTAAAAGATTTTCAATGTTTTGTTTTAGATTGATGCAGATAGAATTGAATGACACCCCAGACATTATGGGAACAGTAACAGCAAAAAGTTATCTCGACCTCTTTGATAAAGATCAACTTGTTTACTTATCACCAGATGGAAGACAGGTGAATTAACTAATTCTATTCTAAATTCCTAACAAGTTTAAATATTGTATACATTGATCTTGGAAGGAGTGGTTGGGTATGAGAGCAAATGATTGCTAACTCCATTAATCCCAAGTTCAGGCCCATGGGCAGAGAAGCCAGCAAACCATCTAGCTGAGAAAACTCCAAAATTAAATAACTGTTCCCTAGCAGATTGTTCTTGAATGGGCAAAGGCTGTGAAAGCGAATCCTAAAAGAAAATCTGGAGTCAGGGTTAATGGTGTGTTGGAGGACAAAGAAAAAAGAAGATGCTAGCATTTTTAAAAGATATTTTTCATAAGAAAACCACTACCTTTTCATGGGTGCAAATGGAACTTCTTTTTAATTTTAAATTCCTCTAACTTTCCACTAATATTTATGATAGTTTCCCTTTCAAACCTGACGGTCTATGGGGCAAGTAAAGTAGAGTTCACTTGTTTCTGTAACCTCGGCATATGAAGAGATAGTGTGGTCAGCACTTTTCCCAGCCGCCTTTACTTTCCCTAACGTGAGTTAGGTACCCATCAGAGTTGGGTGGACTCAGGGACGGTCTACTGACTTTAACACGGATTCGAACTCGAGACTTACGGGTTAGCAGTCCAGTAACTTTTAAAATGTAATATAATAATGTACTCTTGAGTCACTACCAGTATAATTAATAAATCTGTAAAAATAGTAAATCAACAAACATTTTATTTTGTTTTTAGACAATGAATGAGTTTGATCCAACAGCTGTTTACATTATTGGAGCATTTAATGATAAGGCAACTCAACAACCTGTTTCTTATGCTAGAGCAAAGCAACAGGGCATCAGGAGTATGAGATTTCCATTTGATAATTATGTAAAGTAAGTCACGTTTTTGTTTGTTTTTACTTTAATAAATGCGGTCATGTTAAAGCATTATTATAGCAGGTTAGGCTATCCAGCAATGTTTAGTTACTTTGTCAGTTTCTGTTTTCTCCTCCAATATTAAACATTAATTTTTTTAAACTGCAGACAATTTTTCTAAAATAAGGTTAAATTATGTCATGGTTTTTTAAAAGGCAGATTTACATGGACAGTATTACTCATAGATAGGTATTATCAGTTTATTCTTTTTTTTTATTTCCAGTTGGAGCCTGGGTTCGAAGAGCATCACTCTTGACCAGGTGATGAAAATAATGACCTCTTTAAAAAATAATGGCAATTGGAAAACTGCTCTGAAAGTTGCTCTGCCAAGTAGAAAAACAAAATCTTGAATTAAATGTACACTGCTTTTATTAATAAAATAACTATTGAAAAGAAATATGTCTGGTTTTTTTTATAGCTTTCAAATTGCAACAAGGTTGCCTACAATTAACTCGCTGGGTTTTTTTTTTCAAATGGTCTGCTTAAGGCATGCATCTGTAATAATTTATATCATGTAATCATTCTGCAATCATTCAATTAGAAGTTTGATGGTTCCCATCAGTTCTGACTTGGGTGTATTGGGAAGGGTGCAGTCAGCACTCTGCTTAGGCACTTTTACTTTCTCCTACTTAGTCCAACTGAGGTATTTACAGGACACACTCTGGAGTCGTGTCTCTTATCCAAACTCAAGACTTTGTGGTTAGTAATTGATTTAAAAAAGTGCTTAAGGCTTAAACAAATGATAACTCTGAATGCTGTGCATCTACTTGTGTACAGGGTGTATATATATATATATGCACTGGTTTTTGTGGAAAGAATTATCTGGACCATAATTTGTTTATTATTCATCATATACCTGCCGCTGCCAGGGTTTTGGGTATACATTATAAATATATATCATAAATAAGCTCTAGCGTTGAACCCAGCACAGAATATTTAAATTATGAAGACCTATACAAATATTTTAAAAATTTAAAACAATTTGGAATTTCACTGAATTAAGCCAGAAAGTGCATGTTAACACTCCCAGTGCTAAATGCACCAGTGTGCCTAAAGTGAATTCAATCCATTCAGGCGTTTGGATTTTTATATTAGACAAAGCCATCGTGCTGTGAACATACTTTGATTTTTATAGACCATATACTTTGCTCAATCAGTAAAAAAAATGACAAGATTTTTTTAAAAATTGTTAAAACTTTATTTTTATGGAATTTTTATTTAACAGTTGGGCTGTTAAATTCCTGTATTAAAATAAAACAGAAGATTTGCAGATTTCTGTTATTTAAAATATTCAAACATTTCCCATTATGCGCAAATGCTTCCTATTTGGTACTTGCTGGAAACAAAAAAGCATATTGTGTTTGCTTATAAGTGCTTTCTGTAGCACCATAAGAGCTAAATGATAGTGAGACCTTTGTCTTCAATTATGCTTCAACAGTGTGGCTGCTTTTCCAGTATTTTGTCCTGGTCATGTTGAAATATGGGTACAATTTAAATCTTCATATATCCTTGTAAATCAAGTGATATTTTGGAACATCCTGTGGATCTAATGGACTCCTAACCATTACTCTCCCTTTCATTGCACCTCTATATATTACTTCAACAACATCAATAAAATCTTGCTTGTGCTTGAAACTACCAATAAATTTGGTGTGATCAGGTGTTCTGAAATTTTTTTAAAAAAAGTGCAATGCAATTATTATATATACTCCTTACACAAAATTATTTTTATAAGATTTAGACAACAAACTTCAATTTTTAAATTAAGTAATGGACAAAAAAAAGTGAGCTAGACTGCTAACCCGAGAGCATTGAGTTTGAATCCGGGTTCAAGTCAATAGAACGTCCCTGGGTCCACACAGCTATGATGGGTACTTAACCTCCCTTAGGGAAAGTAAAGGGGGCTGGGCATAGTGCTGACCACACTACCCCTTCATATGATGAGGTCAAACAGGTGAACTCTACTTCACTTGCCACATATACCATCAACTTTGAAAGGGAACTTCACTGAGATAAAGGTGTAACAAAATATATCACCTACCCCCAATCAACCTTAATATGTTGACCATTGAAAAAAAAGATTGTGGAAGGTATGAGGGATATATCAAAGTACTGAGTATAGATGGGCACTTTATCCACTTCCACTAAGTATATTGCTGCCATGTTAGCCAAGTCATCTGCAGTTTTTGAGAGCTAAAAAATAAAATATTTTAAACATAACAAATATGGCTATCATACATAAAATTGCGCTGTTGTAGATTGTATGTAAAATGATAAACAAAATTTAAACTAATGAATATATTTAAGTATTACTGCAGTAAATGAAGCAAAGTAATCAAATATACTCAATCATGTTATCTAAATCGGATAAAATTTTTGTAAATAAATGTGTCCTTAAATGTAGGTACCATGAAAATGAAATCAAGCAAAAGGGTAAAGCATTCGCCTTAGAAATTAATAAAATTATGATCTCTAACATTTTTAGTAAGAAATCATTAAAGTTGCTAGTAAAACTCACAATGTCATCCAATTGTAAACAGCTAGAATCTGTGTCTCTTCCAAATCTCAATACCAAAACAACATCTTCAGTTTCACGTATGACTTTGTCGACTTCTTTTTTGGATGATAATGTTGTAAGCAGGTAACTCATCTTAAAGAACTTTAGACATCCAAAAATAAAACCTAAAAACCAGTAGATACATTAGTTACAATACTAGTTTCAGTGAACTATTTCAGTCAAAACTGATACTGAAAATACAATTTTATAATTAGATATATTTAGGTTCATTGAAAAAAGGTTGAAAGTAAATCAATAATAAATACATTTCTGCAGCTCTAACTTAGTTCACTGTCATGCACTGTAAATGTACTAAATAGTAGGTCTAATTGTAATTAATTTACATCTAATATACTAAAATACTATACAGTAGTATACAGCAGTGCTGTTCACAATCCTAAAGGTTCAAATTTCAGTCAAAGTCATTTTTGTTAATTCTTATTTTTAATATTTTAATTTATATGATTAATTTTAATTAGGCCAATTATATTTTTGCTTGTTTTTATTGATATATTTTTACACGGCTAGAGTTTATATTAGTTAGAATCAATAGACCTAATTCAATTAGTTTTAGCCTTGGGCCTAGGCTTACATTGCTAATTAGAAATGAAGTACATGGAATAGGACATGAGTGTAGGGGTCGTCGTGGTCGAGTCGGTAAAGCTCATGGTTGCTAAATCGAAAAGTCTCGAGTTCGAACCCTCGGCAGATGAGGCTCGTTAGCTGGGGACAGCCACTCTTCAAACTACAGTTAACTGAATTTTAGGTAATCTTTTGTTTTAGGCTTTAGGTAGGAAAAAAAAAATTAATTACACGAATAATAATTAGGCCTAATTCAACTAATTGTCAGAGGCTAGTATTTTTACTAGTAATGTGAAAAAAAAAGGTAACTCATTTAACATTTCACATTTGTAGGAGGATTTCTTTTAAATTAAAAGTTACAAAAATGTAATTTCAGGTGGACATGTACTTACTATCATCAATACTCAATACTATGACACTATGACAGATTAATTGTATCAGTATGTCTATGGTCTATGACTATGTATTGTATGTATGTACTGTGTGTGTAGTAAATTCAGTTGCCAGCATTTAGTGATTTTAGTACTAAATTTTAGTAAGTCTTAAAATACTTAAATTAGGCCTAGTTATTTAATTATTTAATATTTAGTATTTTTTAGTAATTTACTATAATAGATCTAGATCTAACTAAAAACTTAGTTAAATTCTAGAATCTTGAAGATCTAGATTAGATATTCTGAACTTACTTTCACTAGTCTTTAGTCGACTCAGTATAGATCTAGATTTAGTACTATTATACTAATAATTACTAGATTAAATCTATAGAATTATTAGTTGAGTATAGAGCTAGTATGCTTGTTTAATGTTTAACTTTTAAGGCAAGGAAGTGTTGTGTTGTGGAAATGAGAACAGCTGGTTTGGTGCCAGATAAAGTTTTAAAATTTTGCCAAAAAAGATTTACAGACAGAACAGTAGCCTAAATAATAAATATAATATATCTCGGTCTAGTTACCATATTATAATATGTCCGTAAAAAAATGCTGTTGGGCAGGAGGAGGAGAGGCAGACCAATAAAGAGATTAAAGACCTGGAGACGTGACCTGGAAGAAGACACCAAGAACTTTCAAGAAGATTGGAAACACCTGGGGACAGTTGGAGAGACTAGCCCAGGACAGAGACGTTTGGAAAGCTCTTGTCAGCGGCCGAAGTCCTAGGAGGGGCGACAGGCAAACCTAACCTAATCCTCATATAAAAATGTGGAATAATCTTTTTTTATATTCTTTCCCTTTGTGGTCGTCCACAAATGACGTCACACTCGTAGGGGGGAAAGGGGGGGGGGGGGGGTAGGTCCGTAATTTTGTGACGGTGTGTGATGAAAGGGGGGGGGGGTGAGATGGTGGGACGTCACACTTCTGCATTATAAACAGAAATGTTAGAAAACGAATTTTAACTGTTATTTTGCGTTTTAGAAAACTGTTTTAATAAATTATAACAGAAAATTGATTAAAATACTACATGTTGACATAGTTCAGACAAGATTTTGGAAAAATTATCGATGTTTAAAGAAAAATTCAACTGCAATTTTGAGGGGAGTATTGTAGGCTGATGTATGACGTCATTTTAAGGGGGGTATGGCTTTTTGTGTGACAGAGGGGAGGGGGGAGGTAAAAAGTAAAGTAAAGTTTCCCTTTGAAACCTGACGGTCTATGGGGCAAGTGAATAGAGTTCACTTGTTTCTGTGACCTTGGCATATAAAGAGATAGTGTGGTCAGCACTATGCCCAAGCGCCTTTACTCTCCCTAACGTGAGTTAGGTACCCATCAGGGTTGGGTGGACTCAGGGACGGTCTACTGACTTGAACCCGGATTCGAACTCGAGACTTACGGGAATTAGCAGTCCAGCTCTCTACCGCTAGACCACTCCGGGGGAGGTAAAAGTCTTCCAAAAAAAAAGCGTGACGTAATTTATGGATGACCCCTTTCTACAAATACAGAACGAAGGTCGCGTTTTCTGTTAAGAAGCATATATTCTAAAGAGATTTCGCAATTATCTATTCTCATGACTTAGACCCAAACTGGGATATTAGACTAACCCTCTGAGGCCCACTGGGTCACCGGTGACCCACCTGGCTGAAAGCTTCACACTTTTTTACAAAATGCATTTTTAAAATATTTTTTACCTCTAAAGCCCATTGTTCATACTGTGGTACACAAGGGAGTTAATTCTGTTGTCTTATTTTTAATATTACTAAGTCATTTCCCTTTTGCAAATGGTGGCTCCCAGGCAGATTTAAAAATACAGTTCACGACTTGATTTTGAAGTTGAAGAATAAAAACATCATTTTAGGTAAGTTATAAATACTTTTTATTTTTACGTTTTATTTTAATTTAAAATATATTAATTAAAAACTTTAAATGTCAATATTAATAAAAAGTACGGCTAATTTTTAGTTTTAGACGTTCAAAATTTGTTGGGTTACTGGTGACCCAGTGGGCTTTAATGGTTACTGGAGCACAATGTTCAATGTAACCAAATTCTGAAATTGTCATATGGTTTTTGTTGTTTTATTTATACAAACAAAAAAATAGTTTTATTTTTATTTTTTTAGCAATTAAATTTTATATTTATTTAATTCATTTGCAAGGTATGGTTTTATTTACACAATTTAGGCATCTATTCTAGAATGTTAGTTCTAGAATCTAGATCTACCTAGATCTAGTGATTATTTTAAATATTTGAATGTATTTTTTTAAATTGTAAATAATTATTGTTTTTTCTTCTTAACAGAATGGCACATTCCTCCAAGACGTTCTACACTACAAGTGAAGTAAAGAACATTTTAGATACTATTAACCATAATGAAAGCGACTTAGAAGATGAAGTATCATCCACTGATGATGAAGATGAATTATACACCTTAGCAAATGAATATGACAATGAAGAAATAGTTGGTGTTGCAGATACACCAGACTCAGATGAGAATGAGTTGCTAGAAACTCCAGAGTCAGTTAAAACCAAAAAAAAAACATATCATTGGCACAAAACAACATTTGAGCCACCGGATGTCATCTTCAGAGGTGAAAAGCTGCAACTTCCAGACCATTATGAACTGCCATCTCCTCTGCAGTTCTTTGAAGAATTTCTGACTGAGGACATGTTAGATCTTCTAGTTGAAATGACTAATCAATACAGTGTGGAGAAAAGCTGTGTTCATCTTTGCCACAAAATGTACCTGGACAACCCTCATTCAATTATAAAATTTATGCAGATAACTTTTTTACAGGTATGGCTCTTTTAGTTGAATTGCAGAAGCTAGGTATTCATTATACAGGCACAATCAGACCTAACCGTATACCAGGAATCAATCTTCAGAATGAGGCTGAAATGAAGAAAAAAGGCCGTGGTACTATGGACCAGTCCATAGAAAAAAACACTAAAATAGTCGCTGTTCGTTGGTACGACACAAGAGCTGTCAATGTACTATCTACATTCTCTGGTACAGATCCCAGAAATCCAGTTAGTCGATTTGAAAAATCCAAATCAATGTATGTCCCAGTACAGAGGCCAGCAGTTATAAAACTGTACAATGAAAACATGGGAGGGGTAGACCTTCATGACTGTTGTGTGGCCAAAAATTCCTACCGCATTAAGTCCAAGCGGTGGTACATGTACATTTTTTGGCAGACCATTAGAATGATGCTTGTGAATGCCTGACTTTCTTATCGTCGTGTCACTGGTCTGCTTGGATATTCAAAACGGGACACAATGAACCAGCGAAAATTTCAAGCCAGGCTAGCAACACTTCTTATTCAGTTTGAAAATTCCAGTGAAAGGAAACGGGGGCGGCCATCTGCAGAGTGCAGTAAAGAAAACCTTGTAAAAAGAAGACGACTGCAAACACTTCTGCCCAATCCACAAATAGCAACAGATGGCTACAATCATTTTATAATAAAAAATGACAATCGCCAACGATGCAGATTGTGCAGCCTTAAAACAAACAATGTTTGTGAAAAGTGTAATGTTTTTCTTTGTTTCACAGAGAAAAGAAACTGCTTCAGGGAGTTTCATTTTAGCTCATGAATGATTGAAATGTTCAAAATTAAAATAAAGTATTATAAAGTTTAAAACAAATGTATCATTTTAAATATTTATGTGTAAGAATAATTGTATTTTCATAACCTCTAAAGCCCAGTGGGTCACCTGTGGGACGAATTGGAAAAGTAGGTCACGGTCAAAATTGTAATTTTTTTATGATTGATATTGATTTCTATCCTAAAAGTATGCATGTACACCAAATGAAATATTTTTCCTACCGTTGCAACATAATTTGAGCCTCAGAGGGCTAAGTTAGTAGATATTCCTCTTCAATTGTACCGTACCTTATTTTAAATCAATAATTGCACTAATAATTAAGTGACGTATAGCCGGTGGCTGAGAAGGGCGACCACCCATGGCTCACACTAACGGGTTGCAAAAGGGATTAGAAAAATACAATTTATTTGAGCTGTAAACATGTGGGGGGGGGGGGGGGGGGGGGGGGTGGAGACACCTACAAGTTTCTACTTATAATTTTGATTAAAACTATTAATTTTTTACATCATTTGTACAAGAGCAACATTATTTTACCAGAAACCAATTAAAGCGCTTGTCCCGTTCAAAGCTGGTGTTTTTTTTTCTCGTAAATTGGACAGATTTTCATCGGAATAGTGTGTAGAGAGGCGCCTAAGCGCCTTTTATTTTCTGTGATAAGTTTAATTAAAAATTTTAAAAGCCAAGTCTCCATAGCTCCTACTAAAAAACGAAAATAAACTCAGCTGTAAGAAAATATAAACCTTAATTGCCCAAAACTAGAAACTTAAGCGATACAGAGGCTTAGCGAGGTGAAGGCGGGGGGTGCGGACCGCACCGGGTGACACCATTTAGGGGGGGGGGTGACAACAAGGCAAAAAATAGCAAAATATATAGAGAAAAATGATAATTCCACTTAATTAAGTGATTAATTCGAGTGTTAAATAGTCTTTTAAGAGGTGCAAATTGAAAGTTTGAGGGGGGGGGGGTGCAATCGAAAATTGAAAGTTTGTACCCCGGGAAGGGTCTCTACGCCTCTGGGGGTGACACCATTAAGTGCCGCACCGGGTGACACCCGACCTCGCTACGCCACTGAAGTGATAGGCAAGAACAAGGCGCCTTACTTTACAAATTGTTCTTGTTTCCTGTTCTTGAATGAAAACGTGATAAAGTAGCTACTGTGCCAAGGGATACAACCCTATTAATATTTTCGGTTAACTCAGCTTAACTTTGTTATTTCCCTTTGATACGATTAAATAAATTTGGTTTTGTATTTTAGTTAAAGGGGGTGATTCAGCAAAAGTGTGTTTTCATTACTCGAGGGGGGGGGGGGGGGGGGAGAGTGGGGAGTGACAGCTCATCCTTATTGGCACGGCTCCTCTGGTGTATGCCTTCAATGAACTTAGCAAATTATATACCATTTATAAATTGTGTAAATATTTCAGAACATTTTTTAAACTGCGAAATAATGAGTTGTAGTTATTAATTTGGTAAATCTCCCTTTTTTTTTTCTTGCGATAACTAACACAGAGCATATTTCAATCTGCAATTGTCGCTGGGACAACTTAAGGCTTACAATTCATATAAAAAAATACCACCCATTTGAATTTAAATGGTACAACTTTTCATTAGCTATGTTGTGTGAAAAGTTCAATAAAGAGTAAACTCCTAAACTCAATTTCATTCAAGAACAAAGAAAATATTGACTTTTTGTATTTCAAAGCAAATATATAAATAATCGAGTGAATTTGCAAAATGCTGGAGGTTGAGCCATCATAAGCCAACCACACTGAGATGATAAAGAAGTATTGTTACTGTGTGTTGGTGAAACTTCTTTTAAACAAATATGGTGAAAACATACAATGAAACATACAAAACAATGTAACAACTATGAATACTTCAACACATTTTTATTGATAGTGCATTCTGATATTGTAAAAGCACAGCATATCACACATCAGTTTATAAAAATAATACACAATTTTTGTTTCCTTTTTATTTTGTTGATTCAACTATTTTACTTTACGATGGAGGTGGATAAAATATTTGATTCAAAATTCACACAAAACAAGGCTTTCATTTCACACCATATTTCAAATACAACTTAAACTGTTCAATTATATGTAGCCATTTAAATAACACTAGATATACTGAATAAAGAGTTTTCCTCATTTTTATTAAGTAAATTTCTTAGGTTGCTGTCAGTTTTATCAGGTAATATGGTCACTACAAACAAAGAAAATTTGTGATACAAGTATGAAAGATAAAGATATGACTGAGATGCAAACTTGGCAAGGCATTTCCAAATTTATGGGCACTGATTAGTTTTTTTATAAATAAGGCAAATGTATAAAAAAAAAACTGCATCATAATACCTTTTCACTAATTTAATACAAAAGAAAGTGATGAAATAAAAACAGATCAATACAATTTAAAATAATGTAAACTTCCTGAGTTGTGAGAGGTTTTTTGTTTATGTTGCAGCTGATTTTTTTTTTAAAGTTTCTCCCAGGTAAACAACCAACTGCATCCTCACTGCACTATGTCAACATAACCTAGAAGGGCTGGTCTACATATCAAACAGATCTGTGGAGTAAACAGTAACTCCTCTCTTAGAATGGCAGTTAATATTGCCCTTAAAAAAAAAATTCATTAAAAATATGGAGGTTATATCTTTTTTTTAAAATGACATGGCTATTGATAGTGCAATTTTGCTCAGATGAATTTCCAAGATGGTTAAATAAATTTGTATTTGACACCTATTTTCATCTCAACACTTTATATTTTTCAATTGTTAAGTGAAAACACTGGAAAAAAAAATTACAAATATTTTGATGTACAACAAAAAAAAACCTTGCAATTTATACTTTGTAAGATATGAAACTATAGGCCTACCTTGCGGAATGTAATATCAAATACTATAGTTTATTTTTTGTCCCTGGGGCAGCGGCACCTTTCTTCAGGAGGAACTCCTGCCATCACTTGCTCAACATGAGCTCCACAACCTACAACAAGGGTTTTTACTTCTTTAAGCATTTACAAAAAAAGTGCTGCAATGCAATTTTTAAAAGCGATTTTAATAATGGAAACTTATTCCACCTTGTATTAATATACACAGGAGGAACTCCTGCCATCACTTGCTCAACATGAGCTTTACAACCTACAACAAGTGTTTTTACTTCTTTAAGCATTTACAAAAAAAGTGCTGCAATGCAGTTTTTAAAAGTGATTTTAATAATGGAAACTTATTCCACCTTGTAGTTAGTCTCATATAAATTCAATTTTCTTCAAATTATAAAAAGAATAGCATATAATTGTAGAGCTTTAAAAATGCAATCCAACAGTACCAATTTTATTAATTTAGCATAATCGGTTGATTAAATATAATTTTTTTAGTGTCGCAAATAAAATATATAGAAACGCGACCAAAAACGCAGGTAAAAAGTCAAATTCACTTGTTTTAAAGCTAGTAAGCAAGAAAAGACATGATTCTTTCTTACTATTGAAATCAGTTTGCTTCCTTATACCTACATTTTTTTACACCAAGGTGAAAGTAAATAGTTTATATAAATTTATAAAATGCCATTTATATAATTTATTGTATGTTTTGTGATGAATTTTCAATTGGAAAATACCGCATTTGGAAGCAGAAAGGTAAATTCTACAGAACAGATGTTGTTTGGAATGTTATAGATTATAGATCTAGGCCTATATCAAAATGTTTGTTTAATAAAATTCAATTAGAGTCCACCCACTTCTGATGGGTACCTGATATACATTGGGGAAATTAAAGGTAAAAAGTAAAGGCGGCTGTGAATATCGCTGACCAAACGGACAATCACTTCATATGCCGAGGTCAAGAAACATGAACTCTACTTCATCTGCCAAATAGATTGCTTTGTCTACAGAGGAATCTTAATTAATGTTTACAGGGGCCTAATAAAATTGAGTTATGTTTGTAAAAACATTAGGCCTAAGCTTTAAAAACTTATTTTGGTCAATCGGAAAAAATAAAAATCTTTTCGACTAAATGGGTTGAAAAAAGCTTTGAATTTGTTTCATTGTTTGTTATTATATCTTGTAGTATTTAGAATTGAAGCTTTCTTTCTTAATTACAAGTTGTATTAATTTCAAACCTTAATGTAATTTCTTTTTAATTCAGTATTAGCCTAAATGTAAGGTAGGCTACAGAATTCAGATATTACCTATGGTTTTGTGATTTTTATATGTTTATAACATTTGTGTTTATGAAATGACCTAATGAAGTTATCAAGCAAACTGTTTTATTATTATTTTAATAGGCCTGCAAGTTATAAGTACAAAATATAGATATCTAATCACTAGATCTAGGTCTAAGTTTAAGAAAAAACTACCAAAAGGGTTTGAAATACTTAAATATAGTACTAAAAGTAGCTATGTTTTGAAAAAAAAATATCTTAAACTGGAGACATTCAATTTAAAGTCATTATAAAAACTCCACGATCTAGATTTATTTCTAGATCTCTAGTAGGAATACAGATTTAGAGGCTTTCCCATCAGTATCAATGTACTATCTTAGCTATGTGGGAGGTCAGTACGAGTTCACTGGGAAAAAAATCGGATCTGCCGTAGGGGGGTGGGTTTAGTGCGCAAATGCTCCTGACCGATTGCCAAAAGGTACAGAAATTCTAAAGATACATTTTAAAAGAAAAATGGACGGCTGAACTGCAGTTATCAAAATATCTGTGTAAGTAGAAGTATAAATAATAATATTTTACACAAATATAGCTGTCTTTTGCTAAATCTAGCTCAATTTCCACGAAAATCGCATCCGGTCGCAATAATTTTTATATCAGCTTGTCGGCCATTCAACGATCTATCACGTGTAGCAGACGCCAAACAGATTTACTCGTATGGTATTGCGCGAATGCTATTTTTAGCAACAGTGCCGAGACGCGATCGAAAAAAACGAACTAGAAAGTGGCCATAAAAAAGCGGGTCAGGGGAGGTAATTCAACTCGCGTTATGAGACTAGCTACACCTTGTATTAATATACACAGGAGGAACTCCTGCCATCACTTGCTCAACATGAGCTCCACAACCTACAACAAGTGTTTTTACTTCTTTAAGCATTTACAAATAAAGTGTTGCAATGCAATTTTTAAAACAATTTTAATATTGAAAACTTGTACCACCTTGTATTATTATGCACAAGAATGATAAAAAATAATTGATAAAAAAAACCAAGCATCTATTTAAATATTTAAAATACAATGCTTTATAAAAGACACTTTTGTAATGTAAAAGTAGCTACATAACTGTTTTTGTTACATCCCTTTTGAAACACTATTATTATTCTTGAAAAAAATGTTACTGACACAAGGTTATCATAACAGAAAACTGACTTTGACAGTGAGGAGAGATACCAAAAAAGTAACAAAAAAAAAAGGTAGTATTAATAAACAACCCCCTTATTCAATATTTACTAATTTAGTTTGAGATACTTTGCTATGTAACCTATTTGAAAGTAATGCTTAATACTTTTCAATAAATGCTTACACTTTCTTCTCAATTAAACGGTCTGATTTAATTTTTTTTAAATGTGATTCCACTAAATTAAAGGCAAGAACTGCAAATGTATAGGGGAAGATAATACAAAGGTTAAGAACAAAAAATCAGTGAATAAGTGGATTCCAGTATACCTCTACATTGATAAGTTAATGAAAGGTCACAGGCCTATTTAATTAATATTGTAGAGACAGCATATATTATTACAGATAGAGAGAAAAGGATTTTCCACCTGAATCACAACATCCAGACATGATGGAATGAATATCAAATACCAGTTTTACAATCCGTGAACTGTAGAATGAATACAACTTGCAAGTTAACAATGTCAAGGCCAGGTTTACAACACAATCTTCACAAGAGCCGAAATAGAAAGTTTTGACAGGTGCACAATGTATTTTAGTGGTCTACAAAATTTGACATCGACTGTGCTGACACTGGCAGCGTTCTTCTAGTGGTACATCTTTTAAAACTGCGTCCTTGTGCATACCACACCCTGCAAGAGAAAGTTGCAGAGGAATCCAAATAATTTTCTTTCTTAAAATTACAGATCAAGCATTAGGGATGTAAAAAAAAATGACAAGCACTATGAGTGCCAGTATGAGAGACAGATCACTCTCCAAACTGAACAGCTTCAGACACTACATGTTGCTGGGGGTTCATTAGATTGTTCAGAGCATATAGACCTAGAGCTAGGCACAATAGGAAAATAAGTAATAAAAATTCAATTTCTGATAAAACAGATTCTTCTGTTGTAGTTAATTAGACAGGTGGAAAGTACTAAGTAGGACAAATTTATTATATGACAGTCTAAACAAGCTAATTAGAACATTTTGAAACCGAGAATAAAATCACAACAGATACAAAAGGTAGTCTTGTTATGTGGGTTAGTGAAAAATGCCAGTGACTTCAAAACCATCATTGGTTGTATAACAAAGAAAAGTATTCCTCCTGCCACACCAAATTATTCAATATTAATTCAATTAAATACCAAGGTGAACTATTTTCTAACTTTTTTTAATTTTAAAGAATCACACTTCACACTCCTATTATCATTACTATTATTAGACATGGAAGTAATTATTTTGCAATTTTACAAGGATTTATGTTCTAAAATGTTACAAAAATGTTTCTTGTACGTTTCTTTTTTGAAAATAATTGTATTAAAACTTTTAAGAAGTCACCTTTCTTTCACATTTCTTAGTGTATAGATCTACATGTATCATAATATGTCACGTAGAAACTACCTAAAATAAAATACATAGGCTTACTGAATACTACTGATGTATTATATATTATCTATATATATAATTATCTTCTTGGATACCCTAGAAAACACCATGCTGTAAGTGCGTATAGCAGCCCCCTCTCTTCCTCTCTAAGCATATCCCTACCACCCCCACATGGTCTGGTGAGCTGTGGTTCACGTTAAATGTTTACAATTGTAGAGCTGGGATTAGTGACGGCTATTAGGGGCAGATAATTTAGTTTGAAATGATTTTAAACTTAGGGGAGGTAACTAAGAGGAGGCTGCTTTCACGGGGGGGGGGGGGGGAGGGACAGGGTAGGGGTTGGGGGAAAGGAGGGTGGGGGGGAGGGGTTATCGTCCTTAACGACCTACTGATAGTTGTTTTAAAGCAAATATTTTCAGTGGCAGTATTGGTACTGTCGAATTCACAAATTATGAATTACTAAAAAGTAGAAAATAAAACAACTAAATAGCGGCGTATGATACGCTGTGGGTCATGATACGCTGTGGGTCGGCTCTTATATTAAATAAATAGGGCTTACATATCTAGGATAGGGACATAAAAAACATAGGGACCCTATGACGGCCTATGATAGGGTAGATTAATTAATTTTAATTAAATTTAGAGTTTAGTTTATTAATACTAATAAAATTACTAATAACGTATTTTTAACTTTTAATACATTTTATTAGATTAACTCAATTTAACTGTAACTGTAACTGTAACAACATTGTCATTACCTTGCCATGTGAACTTGCCACATTTGCTGCACTTAACTTTCATGCACATTTTAATGTAGATCTAGTGCTGTTTTACGAGTCAACAGGTTAGGCAGGTACGGAAGTGTAGCAACAGTAACTCGTTATATGAGCAGGTCTAGATTCTGGTTTTGTTACTTTTGTGGTTTGTGAAGTATTGTGACTATTGTAATCTAATCGGTGGTCAGATCAACGTCAGATTCATTCAACAAATGAGAGCTTGAATTAATTTGTGTCTTATATATATAGTCTTGTTATTTTTCTGCTGTGTCACTGGCAACAGCTACCAGTACAAACCCGTAAGCTAATTCTGCGTGTTCTCTTTTAAGTTTAACTGATGTATTGAAAATGACTGTTATGATTATAAAGGTAAAGGTCTAGGTCACAGAAATACGTGCCTAAGTACGAGATTGATTGTTTACCCAGGCGAAACTTTCATGACAGGAACCTATGTAGTACGCATGCGCAAGAAATTAGTTGCTACGGAGATTATAACTTTTTACATTTGCTCAATCAACACACGTGACAACTAAACTAAATTCGTCAGTACTTTAGTATGTTATAACTTATAACATAATCAACAACTCTACGTCTAAAAATCGTTTTAGAATTTATCTATTAATATGTAGGCCTTTGTATACTTTTGTAGGCCTACTTGATGTCTAGAGCACTATAGGCCCAGTAGCGTCATAAGGGGAGGAGTTGACTAAACCGGTTGACATTATTTATTATTTAATTAACCTAGTCCTAACTCAATGCAAAAAATAATTAAGAAACCCTGGCAAGGTTTGGTGGGATGAGGGGGGGGGGGGGATGGGGCGGACACCGGTAAAAATATATATTGTCTGTATAAATTCTATTTCGTTTGGGGGAGGGGGGTAGATGTTTTACAAAAAGATGCCTGAATATGAAACTAAAAGGGGGGGGGGGGGGGGGTGAAACAATACAGAAAACAATGCATTGAAAACCAACTATCAATTAACATTGTTACTAATAGCTGTGCATAGTTAAAATTGAAACAAACTGAAAATTACTGACAACTTACTGAGGAAAAAATAGTTGAATAAGTAACTGTTAGCGTTAAATGCCATTAGACATAAGGGGAGGGGTGATATCAATCACAACTTTCACAGAAAAAACAATAACATAACAAACAGTAACTACTGTTATGCTTAATACTTCTATAATTGCAATATGTTGATTTAATGAAATGATAAAAAAAAATATCAAACAAATACTTTTACGTAAGTCTAGAGAGATGACTTTATAAGAGGTCATCCCAGAGTGCATAGTTTCAAAACTTGTATTAATGCTTCCAGAAAAAACAATTAATAATACATCTACATACATATGCATATACACATACCTACATATGTATAAATTAACAAGGCATAATTTTTCTTTAGAGGGGGGGGGGGGTTGACACCTTTAGGTATTACACACTACCTAGCCACTGCATAGACCTATAAAGAATACATTAATATATTCATATAGGCTACTATATATATTATTTGATATGTTTATCTTAATGTATGCTAAATCTAGACAAATGCTTAGTCTTCTGACTCTGGTTACGACCCCCAAATTTAATCCGATCTGAAAAATATTTTGACTGATATTTTTTACAGTAAATGAAACCAAATTGGGGTGTGTCCCATCGAAAAATCAAACTTTTGAAAAAAAGGACCCTCCTAATATCAATATATGTATGTATATACAGCTTTTTACTTATCCTCCCACCCACTCCAACAAAATTCTGCATACGCCACTAGTTATTATAATACCCCTCCCCCCATCACACTTGCCTGAACCCCTTTCCTTTATTGTCTATGTGATTCCTATGGTTAGGCATTGTCCTGCAGCCATAGAATTATCCTAAGTCCAATATTTAAATACTATAATTATACTGTGTCAAAAACTCCCCAGGTCTAAAAAAATATATATATACATTTACCTTTCCTATTATAAAAGTAACAGAAAACAAGCTTCTGGTAACTATACAAATACAGCAAGGGTCCAGCAAATGTGTAACTATATTATTAACCTCCATCTCGTAAGGTAAGCAGGAGTAGCTCAAACAAATTTCCTAAGTGTCAGACTAAAATCAAGCAAGAAGTAACTGGAGTGCTGACTGTATTGGGTTATCTTTTGATTATCAAGATTTTCCCACATCGTAATCATAGTCAAGTCTAGGCCACTGAGGCCAGATAATTTGCCAGCATAAACACAGCTTTTAAGAGCTGAGGAGAAATCTAAAACAGCTGAATCTGTGTGTTCTTTTGTCTGGCACAAAGCCATGGATAATGTTGATTGTTGTCAATAAATTGAATGTTGTCAAAGGATATTGTTGTAGGTTAATTAAATAAATGATAATTTGCTGAGAGGGCTGTGGTTTAAATGATAAAGCTTCAAACTGCTAAATCTCAAGTTCAGACACCGTGGTCAATAATGTAGGAGGTCCAAGTCCTCCCAGCTCTGATGGATACCTGCCTCACGCTAGGGAAGCAAAGGCGGCTGGTAATAGTGCTGACTACACTATCCCCTCATATGCTGAGGTCATTGAAATGGATTAACTCAATCTCCTCTGCCTTATGTGTCTCAAGCAAAAACAGGAAAAGTTGATAATTCAACAGTCTTGATAAGCACAAGAAAACACAAAATAACATTACAACTATATATTAAGTAATAAAAACATCACAATTCAGACTTTTTAAGAGAATTTTAATCATCCATCACTTTCAGTGCATATTACTTTAACTCACAAATACTCAAACATCTTTTTCTAACAACTTATAATAACTAATTTTCTATAAACATCATTTGTAACCTGACTGAAAAAACACTAGCAGTATCTATAAACAAGTATTAATGTTATAATATCTACGGCAGAGGCCATTTCCATTGGTTTGGTGGAGCTTGACCAACAAGAGGTTCCCATGGTTTCCAGAGCAGCATTTTACGAGCCAAGGATAACTCCCTTTCAGCCTATAAATAGATAATATAAAATCTCAAAAAGTTAGATATATATAATTAGTAATATGTTGAAATATAAAAAGAAACCCAATTTTATGGATGTGTGAAATGAAGAAAATGTGGGAGGGAGGGAAGGTAAAGAAAGAGACGTTAAAATGTAAGTGTGGCCATTCCCACATTTCAATAAAGCACAGACTTTGTCAGGTCTAAAAAGATTTGTTTAGTTGAGTATGTATGGCACAGAATTTAAGCCCTTCAAGAGGACCTAATGCAGAGGCATAGCGACCATTCCCGGCGCCCGGGAATAAATTTTTCGATTTGCACCCCCCCCCTGAGATTTATATTTGCACCCCCCTCAAACTTTCAATTTGCATCCCCCTCAACCTTTCAATTTATTTTTCCAACCCATTTTGGCGCCCCCTAAGGTCGGCACCCGGGGACATATGTCGTCCCCCCCTCGCTACGCTACTGACCTAATGTATAAATCAATCAATGACAAACATAAAAGCTTTCAGCTGAACTAACCTGCTTGATAACTTCTTCAATCTGTCCACAGTTGATTTTACTTTCTAGTTTTGATACATCTGATTCCTTTAATTGAATAAAAAAAAAGAAATGTAAACACTAGTAACACAACAAAAAAGAACAATAATCCATGAGATGTTAAGCAAGCAGCCACCCACAACTCTTTTCTTCTTCGTTCTTAATTATTAGTGTCGAAGGGGATCGAGATTTATCTGCCAGTGGGTTTGAACTCGAGACTGTTCGAATTTATCAACCATGAGCTTTTTTGCCGACTCGACCACGCCTCCAACACAATTAAGCGTTACGTGTCAACTGGTTATGCGCCATTGAGGCCATTGACTCCGATTTCAGCCTGCTTTTTTCTTTTTGGATTTGCTTCCATAGCCTTTGTCCAACCAAGAATAATCTACAAGGCAGCAGTTGTTTAATTTTGGAGTTGTCTCTCCTAGAAGAGTGGCTGTCCCCAGCTAACGAGCCTCATCTGCCCGAGGGTTCGAACTCAAGACTTTTCGGTTTAGCAACCATAAGCTTTACCGACTCGACCACGCCGACCCCTGCCACCCACAACTGATGTTATATATTTTACTATGTTGAGTTTGTGAGGTGTTTCTGAATAAAAATCTCTGCTGAGAAATACTAATCATCAGTATAGAAAGCATAGAAAAGAAAAATCTGATGGCAAACTCCTACACATTGCTACAATCCAAAAGAAACAATCCTGTAGCAAAAGAGTAATAAAAAAAATAAAAAAAAACACAATTCACCTCAATCTAATTCAGAATAAAAGCTAAAAAAAAATGTGAACTAGTTTTTTTTGGGTATAAATTACACCTATCCTTGGTTTGATGAAGCCAGTTTCTAATGGTAATGTAGTGCACAGGTAACAAGTTAAATTAATGTATCCTGGTGCATTTTTCTTCTAGTCTGTATGTGAAGTACTATAATTAATATCCAACTTTGTAGCAAGAATGTAAAAAATATTACTACTGTTTGACTTCCTGAATGCAATAGTTAAAAGATTATCTGTTCAAAGTGGTTTACACCTTCCACTTATTTTTTTTAATTGACAACTGAGATTTCACAGCAAATTAATGCTGTAGTGTTTCATTAACAGTTGTTCTAAAGTGTAATATTGTTGGTTTGTCCCTACAAATAGTTGCTGTTATGTTTTTTTTTTTTTTTTTAACAAAATTTCTATATTCAACTTGCGCTCATCTCTCTGCATGTACTCATAGCTTTAAAGGCATAAAGTCAACATTTTCCATAGCATCAAGTCACAGCACACCAATAGTGGCTGTAGGGATCATTGACCTGATGTAATGGCATTTTTTTGTCAGTGAGAAGGGTTCGTCCAACTGCATTGCTACATGAACTTTGGCTCTAGGCTCATAAGTTTCATAGGTAGCCGAGTCAGGAACACACCAGTCTATGTTCTACCATGGATATGCTTTAAGCCTACAGTTTTTGCTTAACGATAAGATGGATCACTGAATCATATCAATGCTTGGCAACATTATTTTTTTAATCTCACCAGAGAAATGCAACCATATATATATTTTCAATGATTTATAGTTATAGTTAATTTGTAGAGTGGGTTAATGTGCTTGTGGTGGACTGTCGTGATGAATCGATCAGGTGAAAATTTTCTAAAATGAAGTAAAATACCAGACTTATTCTCATTATTTGGACATGTTAATGTTTATATCAACAAGTATGCAAATAATTCTATATGCATAATTAATATTCTTAAATAATTCTTAAATAATTAATTTAAGTTTAGGCAAATACAGTATATACAACGGTGCCATTTCATTATGCATCAAAGATTTTTTATACTTCTTTGTACTGTTTTGGTAGTTACCCCAAAGAAGAATGTAGGAGATTTTTTCTAAAGAATTAATGATAAAAACATTTACCTTGTGTATTATTAATGAATTATCTAAGATTAGAAGAACATTTTTTGATTAGTCTGGAGAGTAAAATCTTTAATACTTACTGATTTAACTAAACTTAAACGTTCATTAATAATTTGTTCCGTATGTTTACGGTATCCAGCATTGCTAGGCATTTTCTGTAAAACTCCCAAAATTTGTGAATACAACACTCCCAACGACTGTAAAGAAAAAGAAAAATGTTCATATTAGTTTATTAGTTATTAAAACTAATTTCAGAACACTTAGGGAAATGCCCAATGTTTGTGAACTGAGTTATCTTGTAATATTTCTTGTCATAGCAAAAAGTTTGCTCAAATATCTTTTTGAATAATTTTAAGGAAGTTATAAAAGGGAAATTTTCCCAACAGAGTAATAGTGAAATATTTTAAAAATATTTCACCACAATGGTAATGATTCATTTTACTATGTGTTGACTGTTATATCTAGCAATGCGCAGAAAAAAATGAGCATTAAATCAAGACATCTCTAAATGGTTTAGTTACCTAGGTAGATCTGCAACTCTAATACATGGATAAGGCTATTTAAGTAACAAAGCAACATCAACAGAAGGGAGAAAATAGACACACATAACCAATGTTTAGTAAGATAAGAAATGTAAAGAGACTAAAAACAAGAATACCTGATGAGGATGCTTGGACACAGCAAGGCCTGTAAGGCCAGTTGTCTAGAAAAATGAAATAAGAATATTATTTTAATCATCTACAGCCAAATTTAATATAAATAAATGAGCTTTATATAATGAGCTTTAAAAATAAGAAACGTAGCTTTCATAGACCAAAAATAAATAAATTAATACAGGCCTAAATTGCTTATGACTTATGGTTTAAACATTAAATTCCAATGAAGCACAGCATATGATTATGTATTAATAATCTCAATATATTTTAAGAGGGATTACGACAGGTTACACATACAAGCTCAATTTTTTTACTTCTTTGTTAATCTAGCCAAAAATTATTTTTTATAACATTGGTTGCCTCGGGTCTAAGGCTTTCTTTTCAGAACCAGGCCCAAACAGTCACGGATGCTATAGGATCCGGCATAAAATGTTACATCATTCAGTTCTAATAAAGTATGTTGATTGTAGAATGTAGTGTACAAAATTGTCCTAAACAATTAGACCAATTAGATCTATGTTTTACGAAACTCAACAGACAGTACCAGATAATTTACAGCACTATAAACATACAGGGCATATAAATATCAAGAGACCACTGTTTTTAAATGGTATCTGATTATAATTTTTGTAATAAACTTCACAAATTATTTTTATAAGTTGTAGGCATAGCTAAGCTATCCCTATTAATATTATGTTGTTGTTTTTATGTATATTGTATAGGCTAATATATAGGCCTAGTATTGTTTAGGCCTATCAATTATTAATTAATGGAGGCGAGCGAGTTGACGAGAATCCTTTAGGATTTTGGGAGTGGTGATACTTGATAGATTTTAGTACTATTAAAAGTTGGTAATCTATTGTTTTAGGTACGTAAAATTGCCCACGGCTAGTAATGTACGAAAAAGTTACCTCATTGTCAAGGCTTTAATAGAAGTATATTGTGATACATTTGTGTCAAATAAGGCCTATTATAGATAAATGAATAATAAACCAAAATCAATGGCTAAATATATCAAATTGGGCCAGAAATTAACTTTAAACAGCAGTGATTAAACAGCAAGATTTTCTATACAAACAGCAGCTGTTTGTAAAATAGAGTGGCCTTCCCTGAATCTCGCGCTATGAAACTTAAACAAGATGGCTGCTATAGTAAATGAGCATGGTTGCATCTGTTGGAAACATCGCTAGTCTTCATTTATTACTGAAAAGTTTTAATTCAATTGTTTAAAAACAGGTACATAAAAGAAACAAGGAAACATTTTTGTCTTTTTCAAAACATGAATCCTCTTCAAAATGTGAAATAATTACAAAAATTTAAGGAGTCACCTGTTTTTCACATTACTAGTCGCGGGCGGTTTCGGTTTTACATAGATCATCTACCTAAAATGATAGATTACCTAAAAGTTTTATTTTTACATCTGCTATGAAGTCACATAAAAAAATAATTTTACCAATGCCAACAATATTATAAGGATTCTCGTCAACTGGGTGGCCTCCTCAACAACCCCCCCCCCCCCCCCCACCCCACACACAGTGACGCTGTGACACTCACTTGACTAACTCACACAAAAGTAACAACTAACGGTAAAACTCCATTTTAGTGTATTTTATTCCCTGCTTCACGTTCACCTCCAGTTGAGCGGATTTTATATAAACACAAATGAAACACACAAAAACGTTAAGACAACACTAGATCTACTTATTTTTTTATAAATGTGATTTTTAATTAGAAAAGGTAAAAAAAAAACCAACATAAAAAGCGTTAGAACTGTTCCAATTAAATATCGTGTGATTGTCAGCGGGAGAAAAATCCTTACACGGTCGCGGGTTCACATTGACTTTAGTTAATTATTAGCATACGTCATAGCTCGGGCAATAGCTGTTTGAAATTGTGTTGGCCTCAGTTTTGGGGTCATTGTAAGTTTATAAATGTTTATTTATAGTATAACGAGCCGGCCCGCGGCATAACATACGCCGCTATTTAGTTGTTTCTAATTTTCAATAATTCATAATTTGTGAATTCGACAGTACCAACGCTGACACTGAAAATATTTCTTTAAAACACTATAAGTAGCTCGTTAAGGACCATAACCCCCCCCCTTCCTTCCCCCCCCTCCCCCCCTACGTTTAAAATCGTTGGCTCTGCTTGTAAACATTTAGAGTGAACACAGCTCACTAAAACCATGTAGGGGTGGGGAGGTAGGGAGAGCGTTTGCAGCTTGTTTTCTAACGGCTCGAAGAAGAGAATTATATATATAGATGCCTGGGAGATACTTGTGACAATACAAACTTAACCGCCTTGCGATTGTGAATTACGTTTACGTACTTCACCCATTGCCATGAAAATTCCAATTGACACATGAACATAGCACATTCAATATTCTAAATTTGGATTTTTCTCAAGGTTTCACAAAAGTAAATTCGAAGTGACTACTGGGAAGAAGATTTTTCTCCCCAACGTCTCCACTTAGTCTGCAAAAGATAGCTCTGCGCATGCGCAGTGACCTATGGCAAGGGTTAGGGCTAGAATTAGGGTTAGAGATTGGATTAGTGATTAGGGCTAGGGTTAGGATTAGGGCTAGGGTTAGGGATAAGATTAGGGTTAGGGATAGACTTAGGGATAGGGTTAGGGATAGGATTAGGGTTGGTGTTAGGGTTCTGCAGTTGTAAACAAACGCATGCGCAGTACCATCAAAAACATCGCCGCGATGGCGTATCTTATTCTGGCTAGCATCGGCCAATATTAAATTAAGTAAATTTTGTTTAAAACAAAAAAATCACAATTCTTGCCTAATAGATTAGCCTAAATAAAAATATTAATATGGATGTCTATCATTCATTGGTCATGTTTAAATTGGAAATTGGGTAAATTTTAGAATTAGATCTAGATTAGATCTAGAAATCATGTAAGAAAAGCTACTAAATATAAAAAATGGAGTTTTGGGAGAATGTTTACACCGGTGTCTGATAATGGAATCTTCTTTAAAAAAGGGGTGTTAGGTTACTGGTAGTTAACTAAATAGTAAATACACACATGGCTGGCTAATGTCAATGCTAACCCTGTCCCTAACCCTAACCCCAACCCTGGTCCAACCATACGCCTAACCCTAATTTCTAACCATAAAATTAGTCGAGATTACAATACTAGTACTAGATCTAGATCTAGTACTAAACTAACAACCCAACACCTAGGCCTATTGGGAAATTTTTCCTAATTATCATAGAATGATAAAATGGACCCAGATTAATCCTACAATATACCCCATTGATAAAAATATCAAATTTATCATTCTAGGCCTAATAGTTTTTTTTATATGAATTTTCAAAGTTATGTGTTTAACTTGTTATGTTTCATTGTAACCTGCATTCCAGACGTGTGATTGGCTTTAAACTTGCATACCAATGTTGCTATTAAAGATATAATGATAAAACTTTGCACATTTGTACTCAATGATATAGGCAATAGAAGTCTACAAATAAAATAAAAATTAGAAAAGAGGTAACTAGAAATAATGAAGTTAAATTAAGGGGTGTAGCACTGTTCTATAGTGACTGCCATAAGAGGATTTCCAGACTGCACAGCTAGGTTGCTATTCCATATACCATCATGAAACTTTATATATTAGGACTAGAGCATGTAAAAAATACAATCATGCAAGTAAAATAAACATAGCTAGAGGAAAACTATAAATAGTGAACTTGAATATGGTACAGCGCAATTAGACTATGATGATTAACTACAGGCTAATATGTTACACTTCTTTGTTGCTACTATAAAAATAAAGATTAAACTTTACATATTGATTCTGGTGTTAGTAATAAGAATGCTAGTATACATATTGTACAGGTAATGTATAGAGTTAGAACTTACAAGTCAAATACAGCACAATATGATCAAGATACTTAACGATTTGCCATAAACATTGGATTTGTGTCCGTGTATAACATGGTAAAAATGTTATTATTAATTTAGAAAATTTTGGTTCTTGTAATGTTTCTGATGAAAAGTGTTGAGGTGTGTTAAAACTCAAAGATTGACATTTCACAGTATTCTTATTTATAAAATGTTTAGTGAAGTTGACGTATCCTTTGATAAATTCTTAAATGACATTAATTAAAGTGTTCATGTTTTCTTTCTATTATAGTTGCCTTTAACTAAAACTGTAATGCAGTGCAGCTTATAAAATTGGGCATTTTTAATTTAGGCCCTTTATAGTACTTTATAGATCTAGATACTACAGATAGGCCTGTCAGTATTTACATTAAGGCCTAATAGTTTATATATATATATATATATATATATATATATATATATATATATATATATATATATATATATATATATTATTACACATCTCTAGACCCATTATTGTTTTCATTTCCATTTAGATCTAGATCTAGATTCTATTTTTTTTAAACTGTTTACAATAAATATAGATTTTTTTCTACTTAAAAATGCCTTTATAATCTATTTATCTGCAATTCGTTAATGCTAATTTGCTAGATCTAGTTAACCTGGTATTAAGAAGGTTAATAAAAATCTGGCTAATTTAAAATTTTATAATTTATTTAGGCAGCAATTAGGCCTAATTACATTCTTTCCATTTTTAATCTAATAATTTAGATCTACATTATATTTATTTTAAAGCCCATTTTATTGTAACAGTCCATTTAAAAACAAACAGCTATTAATTAAAAAACATCGTATGCGCATATCTATTAATATCTCGTAGCCCGGCCGCCATTATGAAATTACGCATGCTTTCTCGTTCCTACCCCTACGAGTTTTATCGCGCTACTCCTTATTGGCCCGTGCTTAAAAACCCTTCAAATCGACATTTCTATTTATCCAAATGGTTGGCATGCTATTTAAGCCTATTTTCATGCAACTTAAAGGATTATTTATATCTGAAATTTAGTTGTCAATGCGCCAGTTCGGTAGCGTTGGCATTTCGACAAATATTTGCTATTATCGGTGATCGCTTTCGGTATCGGACAATGTAAAACGGGAGCTAATTCATTTATTAGTATGTATAAAAGATGAAATTCAACTCAAATATTCACATCGAATACATTTTATTCTTCGATACCGATGGCGAGAATTAACATGTTAAAAAATGGCGAATTTCAACAAGTACCATGAAAAAGTCAGGATGTGGTCGTACCGAATCGAAACAGCGGAAGTCGAAATGCCTACCAACACCCCTATGGCTATTAATTAAGGCCTATTTTAAAGATGATTCCATTATGATTATCGGACACTGGTATCTATAATCATCCGGAGTTTTACCCAACTAACAAAAATTACAAAAGTGTTATTATAACACTTTTGTAATTTTTGTTATAACTCTGTTAGTGTTAACTGAACAGTTAACTGTTAGGCCGTTAGCCTGCCGTAGGCCTACAAAAGTCACGGAAACGTGAATGCAGAAGAGTCGACATATAAATTGTGGTTTAAAGCTCTTAATGTACCTACATATTATTGTGAATGATAAAATATCTTGGTATTAACTATCTATTGTATTTTTTATTTAGATCTAGATCGTGCATAAGTATCTTAGTCTACAACAATGGTTTTCTTAAAAAAAAAAAACACTCACGATCTTGTGAACTCCGGCCATTTTGTTTGTTGTGAAGGTCAATGAAAAATGTGGAATGGATTTTCCCCTAAATATTTTTTCCAAATCTACTCAATCTAGGATCTAGATTAGGCCTAGAGTCTAGATCTAGACCAAGTTATCTAATCTTGATTAAGAATTTAACTCTTCCCTCTAGATTCTAGAATCTAGATCTAGATCTAGATACACTTTTATTTGTTAAGTGTAGGTTTAGATAAGATCTAGACCAGATTCTTTCTAGACTAGATCTAGATCTAAGTAGTACTAACTAATATTTAATAACTTTATTGGTAATCTATCGTTTTGGGTACGTAAAATCGCCCGCGATTTGTAATGTGAAAAACAGGTGACTCCTTAAATTTTTAATAATTATTTCACATTTTGAGGAGGATTTATGTATTAAAAAATTCAAAAATGTTTCCTTGATTCATTTATGTACCTGTTTTTAAACAATTGAATTTAAACTTTTCCGTAATAAATGAAGACTAGCGATGTTTCCAACAGATGCAACCATGCTCATTTACTATAGCAGCCATCTTGTCTAAGTTTTATTTTTATAAGCTTTTAGCGCCAGATTCAGGGGGAAGCTACTCTATTTTACAAATGGCTGCTGTTTATATAGCAAATCGTGCTCTCAGACACTGCTGTTTAAAGTTAATTTCTGGCCTATATCGATATATTTAGCCATTGATTTAGGTTTATTATTCATGTATCTATAATATTTAACACAAACATATGACAATATACTTCTATTAAAGCCTTGACAATGAGGTAACGTTTTCGTACATAAATAGCCGCGGGCGATTTTACGTACCCAAAACGATAGATTACCACTTTATTTTATATTTAGCCGCTTGCTTAGGCTATCGCTGCTGCGCTATCACTCTGCCTTCTTACAATCTTACTTCTTACTAATATTACTTACTAAGTCCTAAGTTACTACTCTCTTAGTTCTTAGTCTTGTCTTAGTCTTACTTTACTTAGTCACTCTTAGTCTTACTGTAAGTCTTACTTATTACTTACTTTACTTTGACATTTGAAAAAAATATTCATAGACGTCTAGACTGCTATTCTAATTCTATATAGTATATACTATAAACTATAATATACTACACTAGTATATTATACTAGTATAATACTATAATAGTATAGTCTAGTGACATAGTCTTATATTATATATAATTATATGCCTGTTACTGTTGCATTTAAAACAGTTTTAAAAAAAAAGTTAAATAATGCTACAATTCATGTTGAGTTTCTAATACTAATTACTAATAATTAAGTTCCAGATCTAGATTCGAGAGTTTCTTCCAGGCATCTCTTCGCCTCCCCCCCCCCCCCCCGAATGAGATGGATTTATATAATAGGAAACATACACTTTTACTAGTGTCCGCCCCCCCCCTCCGAAAATTTCAAGTGCCCCCCCCCCCCCCCCCCCCCCCGGAGAAAAAAGATTCTAGATCTAGAAACTACATCTATTACTTTTTTTTAAATAAAAAGAGTTTGATGTCGAACTATCTGAACCCACCTCTCCCCCCCCCCCTTTCTTATCAGTCACACACATTGTCACAAAATTCTATAGTATAGGCCTATCGTTCTAAAGATAGTCCTATATTGTAATTAGGTATATATAGGCCCTATTATAATATATATATATATATATATATATATATATATATATATATATATATATATATATATATGCTATATACAATTTAGGCTCACTTATTAATCATTGATTGTTAAGTTAATTGATAGTTTTCCTTGACTAACTTATGTATTTCATTGAATTTTTAGCCTACATTTTTATCTGTATAACACTAGTTATCTTTCTGAACTTACAGCATTAACAGCCATAAAAAAAACAGATAAGATAACAAGAACAAACACCCTAAATGTTTTCATCAGATGAAGAAAATGATTTTGAAATAGCAGAACAGCTGATGATGTCAGACCTCACAGAGTCAACTAAACTTGTTGGGTCGCCAACTATCAAACCCACGTCTTCACATGTGATCAACTCAAAGGTTTCACCCCCTCTCCACTACGATGGTATTGATTCTGAAAGTGACTCTAACAACGAGATCACGCTTTTCAACTCACCTGCAAGAGGAAACAAAACAATGATGGGAAATTCAACAAGAAATTCCACAATTTATGTGTGGCTGCTTTCATTCTTTGCTGCCATTGGAGGATTTTTATTTGGATATGACACTGGAGTCATATCTGGTGCAATGCTTTTACTTAAAGATGAATTTACTCTATCGTCGCTTTGGCAAGAAGTTATTGTCAGTGTCACTATTGGTGCAGCATTTTTATCAGCACTTTTTGGGGGTTTTCTAAATGATAAATTTGGACGTAAAGTTGTGACAATCTTGGCGAGTTTTGTTTTCACTGCTGGTGCAGCTGTCTTAGCTTTTTCTTACAATGTAACCATGCTGGTCATTGGAAGAGTGATTATAGGCATTGGAATAGGTAAGTCTAAATAATTCATTGTTAACTTTAAAATCCAATGAAAATTCTGCTTATGAACTTTTTAAAATTTGCATGTAGGCCTATTTTCAAATTTAGAGTTACAATTTTATTTATGTAGCTATTTGATGCTTTATTTTTGAAAAATAGGTTTTGCTTCCATGACGATACCTGTATACATAGCTGAGAGTGCTCCAGCTCATCTTCGGGGGCGTTTGGTTACTGTCAACACCCTGTTCATTACTGGTGGACAGTTCATTGCAAGCACTATAGATGGCGGTTTCAGTTATGTTAAGCCTAATGGCTGGAGGTAAACTCATCACCATAATAAAATAAACTTTAATTTTAAGTTACCTCATAAATGTAAAAATTGTTTCTGCGCTCATGCTTGATTCATTAAATAAGATGCAATTAATAAATGCACATTCTACTTTTAAATTGAAATCCTCAAGGTTCACTACCATTTCTTCATAGTAGTAAGAAAATTAAATTCAGTCTGCTTTCTTTATTATTTCATCCTTTTAAAAGCTTTTGTATTATATACTCTATTCTTTAAATACTGGATCTAGAAGCTCTGCCATTTCTATTGAAAACTACACAGTTGTTGACTGAAGACTAATACAAATGTTCTGGTCCCCTATACATCAATTTTTCAGTAGATTAAACAATTTAAAGGCCTACTGTAACAACATGTATTCTTTGTTGTTGTGGGTTAGCTTTCATACAGGAACACGAGCAACAGTGGCAACTTCAAATCACAACTTTATTTACACTATGTACAGATAAATCCGTGGTACATCCATATTTGAAGATCAACTGATATAGGTACAAATAATAATCACGACTCCAAGTCATGGAGACATCTTACATTCACTGCCATCGTTCCAGTCCCAAGTCCTAGCACACAACCCCCGTTCACCTTTCGCTCTCTCTTTTATTCACCACTTTCTCTCCCCTTACGTCAATGAGCGATCTCACCCAAAACACGGAAAAACACATGACGATCGCTCAGACAGTCCTTCCGCTAGCCAGGTACTCTTCATTCATGCAAAACACAATATAATAAAGATACATAATAATACAGTCTGTGACACGTCCCCCCTTCGAATAAAATTTTGTGTAACAAAATTTATAAATACAATATTAGTAGGGCAGGATCATGTGCCAGACAACAAAATTTATAAATACAGTATTGGTAGGGCAGGATCATGTGCCAGACAACAAAAAATTGTGTACAATTCAAAGTAGAGTAACATATATTCATTTTAGACTAAGCACTTGTAGTCATAAATTTATAGTGCATACAAATACAACAGTATGTAGTGACTATATCAGTGATAATTAAAATATGTCAGTGTTTTGAACAAAAACTTTAATTGTACAAGCATTATATTTAATATTTAATGCATCAATATACATTCACATAGGAGGAAAAAATATTTCAATTACCCAATAACTGTAGTATAAACAAGACAAATGAGTTTAATAAATTACCAAACGAGTCTGGTACATGACCTTATTACCAAACATAATACATAGTTGAAATTATCAAAGACTTAATTCAACTCATAATTTAAATAACTATATCCTATGTGGTAAAAAAAAAACTTCCTTATCATCAAGGTATGTTATTACCACGCATGAGTAATATACTTTGTTGTCTCCCCTAGTCGACCCATTTCAGTCATATCTAGGTCACAACACAACATTCTTGCCTTTCACAGGTATCGACTAATACAATTCATCATTGAGACTTCCGTCTTATTGTTATGCGGAATAAATAGTCTCTAACTTTTACTTGATTTACTTTATTCACTGTTAATTAATAGTATAGAATAGGTTTAATATAATACAGTTTACATTCTTTAGATATAGTACACAATTTATGTTTACTCAAACACATTATTTGATATTTATATATTACAGTTACAGACTGTATAATATTAATAAACTGTCAATTGATAATTTATCTTAGCATCCTCTATAGCATGAGTAATCGTTCTCGTGCAGTTGACGATGACCTGTATGCCATCTCTCCCTCAAACTGTATGTGTATCTTTTAGCTTTGTTACCATAATTATTTCCTAGATTTCGTGTAACTTGTGTTACTTCATTTGTTTTAATATTCTCTTCTGGTTTCTGAACAACGTCAGTTGTTTTCTTACTTTGTGTACCTTCGTTTGGTTCATCAACCAACTCAATATAAATATTATGGCATTGCTTTGGCCTCTCATAATATGTGTTGCGTCGGTAACTTCCATTAGTATACCTATTCACACTTTTGTTATTCTGATTTGAACTTGATACATTATTCCTTAAATTACTGTATTTCTCACATGACTTTCTGTGTACATAATTGTTTCTTCTCTGATTTGCCAACCTATGCCAACATTGATTTTGGTAATGACCTGTTTTTCCGCAGAAAAAACATCTAGATTTTGGCTTCTTATAAACATGGTGACTGTATTCATAGTTTGCTAAATTTCTTTTTCTTTCATTCTGTGCATTAATGACATTAATGACATTCTTATTAACATGGTGACTGTATTCAAAGTTTGCTACATTTCTTTTACTTTCATTCTGTGCATTTTTATTAACATTGTAGTTTGTAGATATTTTTTCATCTTTCTTAACTTCCTTGTGCTTCTTTATTGATTCTAGTTCACACATAAATTTCTGGGTTAATTTCTCCATTTCTTTGTTAAATTTATCCTTGAGTTCTAGTATATCTTCTTTATAGTTTGACTCCAATTTTCGAAGTAAATCTTCAATAGGTACGTTCTCTTCATTGTGGCTTATTAAGTTCACTGATTCATTAATCATCATTAGTTTATCATGATTCCTGCCATTCTCCGATGGACTTATTAAATCATCACTGCCATTCACTGATGGGCTTATTAAATCATTTTGACTGCCATTCACTGATGGACTTATTTCTTGTTGACTGCCATTCTCTGATGGACTTACGATACAACTTTCAATAATATTCTCGTGTACCTGCGTATCATTTAATAAAGAGTCAATCTTAAGACATTCTAATGTATCTGTCACCTTTAAATCATTATTAAGTTCAACCTCTGTTTTATCCTTGGGTTTCAATTCTTCCTGGACTATGTTACTCTGTTCCTCATTCCAAAGGTTGCCAATATTTACTTCTTCAAGTTCTGCTTTAAATTCTGTCTGTTCACTTTCTAATTTTGGTTCATTTGTGTCTGTTATAGCTTTCATTTCTAATAGTTCTTGTTTATATACTAGTTCATGTAGGCCAACTTGTTTTTCCAAAGTTTCAGCCCTTTTATCTGCTCCCTGTTTTCTGTTTCTTTTTTTCTTCTTTCCTTTTGGTTGTACAGTCTCCTCTGCTTTATCTACTTCTGAAATGTCTTCTTCTTTATGCATGTCTGTAATAGCTCTTGATCTATTACACACTATTTCTATCACATCATCTAGTTCTCTCAATACATTTCCATGAGCTCGTCGGGGTTGGTCTGTTTTTTCGTCCCATGCTTCTAATGCTTTTTCTATGTCTCTGTCAAATCGAGTGTTTGCCCAGGCTATCTGCTTCTTCATCTTCTTAATGCCTTGCGCCCTCGCTAGTGCTAGATATTCTTCAAAACATAACATTTTGATATATTTTCTATGACATAAAATATAAATTCATTAGTTGACAATAGATAAATGTTAATTAATTTACAATACCCTTTCTTGTATTCTGGCTTTGTTTTAGTTGATTACAGACATCTGGTAATCCAAGAAAAGTTCATAGTACATATATACGTCCAAAAATAGTTCACTTTGTTGATTCCAAAAAGTTGAAAAATTTCAAAATAGTTCCAGTAGCCTTTTTTCAGAGTAGAAATTTGTCCAGTTTTAGATAAGACAGCTTCAGGAACAGTTTAGAAACAGTTACAAAATAAACTTGATCTGCTAAATCCAAACAGCAGAAAAACTTGAACAGCTAATCCATATAGAAAAAGAAACACTAAGACTTGATCGGCTAAATCCAAACAGAAAAAACACACAGACGATATTTACTCGACATTGGTGAGACAATATCGAAATAAGGTGATAAAAATTATCACGTTGATGACTTGACTTGAACAAAACGTCTGACTTGACTACAGCAACCCTTCTGACTTGAGTGTAGATAGATGACTTTCAAGAACTTGACGTACTTGGTAAACAGTGGAAGACCACAGACTGTAATATCTCCATTTCTGACATATGTAGCACCAATTCTTCAACCACTTGTGACATCATAAGTAACAGTAATACAATGTAGCAACATCACTTTATTGCCTCCACTTCTGACACCATATGTAACAACATGAATTCTTTGTTGTTGTGGGTTAGCTTTCATACAGGAACATGAGCAACAGTGGCAACTTCAAATGACAACTTTATTTACACTATGTACAGATAAATCCGTGGTACATCCATATTTGAAGATCAACTGATATAGGTACAAATAATAATCACGACTCCAAGTCATGGAGACATCTTACATTCACTGCCATCGTTCCAGTCCCAAGTCCTAGCACACAACCCCCGTTCACCTTTCGCTCTCTCTTTTATTCACCACTTTCTCTCCCCTTACGTCAATGAGCGATCTCACCCAAAACACGGAAAAACACATGACGATCGCTCAGACAGTCCTTCCGCTAGCCAGGTACTCTTCATTCATGCAAAACACAATATAATAAAGATACATAATAATACAGTCTGTGACACCTACAAATCAATTTTTTAAGAATATTATTATTATTATTTCGAAGAACATTTAAAAAGTTATGAGTTAAATTAAATAAAGAAAGAAACTTGTATTCTTTATTAATTTTTAACTGTAAATTTACTTTGAGTGATGCATTACTTTTAACAACAACAAAATCTATTCTTCCTTAGGTTTATGCTTGGTCTTGCTGGTGTGCCATCTTTAATACAGTTCTGTGGGTTTTTCTTTTTACCGGAGAGTCCTAGATGGTTGATGAGTAAGGGGAGAGAAGCGGAGGCCTTGAATATTCTCGTGAAGCTGAGGGGCACACATGCAGTAGAAGATGAAATGGCTGAAATTAGACAAAGTATAGTCATGGAGTCCAGTAATAGATACAGTGGTAAATAACATTCCCTCTTAGAAATGAAAGGTTGTGTTCAAAATATATTTTACTTTTAAAAAAAAGTAAATAAAGTTCACCTGTTTCTGTGACCTCTGCATATGAGGGGATAGTGTTGTCAACACTAGAACCAGCCGCCTTTACTTAACCAAGGTACCCTTCCTTCAGAGCTGAGTAAACTCATGGAAGTTGTACTGACTTGAACCCGGATTCAAACTCAAGACTTTTGCTATAGCAGTCTAGCGCTCTACCACTAGGCCACCCGATTCCTTTTTTTATGTGTAATGCTTTGGAATACCATATACATAATTATATTTTATAAAATAACTGTGGCAGGTTTACAACTGCTATGCAGCTGCGCAGCTTAGAAGGACACACAGCTTAGAAGGAACATTGGTGATAAATAAAATTTACTAAAGGCTACACCATCTCATTTAAATTAATTGAAACTAAGTGTTATCAAATTAATGAAAAATCAATTACAGTATAACCAGTGGTGTAGCGAGGTCGGGTGTCAACCCCGGTGCAGCACTTAATGGTGTCACCCCCCAGAGGCGTAGTGACCCTTCCCGGGACAAACTTTCAAATTTTCGATTTGCACCCCCCTCAAATTTTTGATTTGCAACCCCCCTCAAACTTTTGATTTGCAACCACCCCCTCAAACTTTCGATTTGCACCCCCCCTCCCCCTTCAAGTTTTTCTCTATATATTTTGCTATTTTTTACCTTGGTGTCACCCCCCTAAATGGTGTCGCCCTGTTCTCAATTTTATTATAAAAAAAAATTCTTGTGTGAATTGCCTGGTTTTCAAAACCCTCATAACACTGTATTATCCCTATTAATGAAATTACATACTTTCATTACATTTGGTGGAACATGCTTGTTTTGACTTCTTCTCCTTAAGTATTCAAATATGAGCAGAAATATACTTCAATATAAAACTTCATTTGAATGATTTTTTAATTTAAAATATTCTTTTCAGGAGGAAATACTTTTATTCGTATAATGAAAACATCACCAGTTCGAAGAGCTCTCATTGTTGGCTGTGGACTCCAGTTATTTCAGCAGCTTAGTGGAATAAATACTGTTATGTAAGACACACCTCAAATGTTAATTAATTCTTACCTATATAAATAGTTTTCATTCAGTTGTTTTACATTTTATTACCCATTTTTATTGACTATTCTAAACAAATAAGGTATTGATAGTAATTTACTACTTCTCCCTTTAAAAAAAATAATTCAGTGTGCCATAATTATGGTCTTAAAATTAGCAAAACAATATAAATTAATACTGGTTTGTTAGGCCTATATAAAATATTAGAACAATTAGTGTGTTATAATTAGGCCAAGTAAATTAAAAAAATAAACAGGGAGTGATCTCCCCTAAACTTTCTCGAATATTCTAATATAACACTACAGGGGATGGCAACTCGGGATATAGACTTCTAGACATGATTTTTAATCCATTTTAAATACTCACATTTCTTAAAATAGAATATAATCTTGTAGAAAAAAGAAATGCACACCAAGTGAACGCTAAATAAAAAAGCGCATAATAGTGCGCAATATTATTAGTACTTTATAAATTTACATGCGTTTTTTGAGAAATCGGAAATAGCGTAAATAAGTACTTCCGGTCAACGGAAATTACTCAAAATTTGACAGAAGGTAGAGAATTAGCTCTTTTACTTACATATCAAATTTCATTTATCTATCTGAAATAGTACTCAAGTTATAGGCTTTTGAAAAATTCAAAGTAGAAAAAGTACCACTTCCGGTTATCGGAATTCGCTCAAAAGTTGATACGGATCTACGATTTTGATAAAATACTTATATATGAAATTTCACCATCCTAGCTGTAATGGTACTCAAGTTATCGTGTTTACACACGGACACACAGACACACACACACACAGACATACGGACAAGATTGCAAAATTATGCTTTTCCGTATCAGTGAGGTGTAAAACGTCGAGATTTGTAAAAATCTCGATTTTTTTTTTTTTGCACGATTACAGATTACAATACTTTCTCTATACTACGTATATACGAGAAAGTAAAAATTAGTCATTTGAAGAACCATAGGATGTTATGGCTAAATTTTAACATTGTGTTGAAGAAATAAAAACAGGATTGGTGTAATTCCTATGTTACTTATGTTTGATCATCAAATTTTAGCATCAGTACTAATAAGTGTATGACTATTTGTCAGGTTTGCTGATTGGTATCTAATTTAACTGTCTAAAACAATCCTTACATACCTTATTTACACTAATAGCATTATCGTTTTCATTAGATTTTGTTTTTTTTTTTACAAAAAAAAAAGACAGTGTTTTTATTAAACTCACATTACTCAAAAATATTGATTTCTTCTATGCAGGTACTACAGTGCCACCATCATAAAAATGTCTGGGGTCAACGACCAACAGATGGCCATCTGGCTGGCGGCCATGACAGCTGGTGTCAACTTCCTGTTCACCCTTGTTGGTGTCTGGCTTGTGGAGCGCATTGGAAGAAAGAAGCTCATCATGGCAAGTTTGACAGGTACTGGATCCTGTTGATGGTGACTTGTTGTAAAATATTGTCCTGTGTGAATTTTGTTTGATGGGTACAGGACCCTGTTGATGGTGACTTGTTGTAAAATATTGTCCTGTGTGAATTTTGTTTGACAGGTACTGAATCCTGTTGATGGTGACTTGTTGTAAAATATTGTCCTGTGTGAATTTTGTTTGATGGGTATAGGACACTGTTGATGGTGACTTGTTGTAAAATATTGTCCTGTATGAATTTTGTTTGATGGGTATAGGACACTGTTGATGGTGACTTGTTGTAAAATATTGTCCTGTGTGAATTTTGTTTGAAGGGTACAGGACACTGTTGATGGTGACTTGTTGTAAAATATTGTCCTGTATGAATTTTGTTTGATGGGTATAGGACACTGTTGATGGTGACTTGTTGTAAAATATTGTCCTGTGTGAATTTTGTTCCATAATTATTTTTTTTTATTATTACTTTCTATTTTATCACATATACTGGTTTTTAATCCGCCAAGATACTTCTCACATTTCATTACATTTTTTTCTATATCGCCCTCTATCTCTATTACTGCTGTTAAGCCAGATAAACTTAAACAAGGATGTAGAAGGTAGCATTTCTCACACCCATTTTGCCAGCCACGAAACCTATGGCTGTTTTTCCAACAGCTTTCATTTCCTACTGTGTGATCCTCACTGGTTTGGAAATGGAGACAGTTTTGCTGCTGGATAACCTATGGTCAAAAACCCATGTTTCAAGCTCCCATGGTCGAATGGGAGAGCGTTTGGCTGCTAGCCTGAAGATCTTCGTATCGGATCTCAGTTCAGACTTGTGACATTATTTGCGAAGTGAGTTTCAGGACAAGTCGTCACTTAAATCTGTTTATCAATTAAACAACACGAAATCCGTGTGTGATTTTATCTTTTTATTTTATTTCTTGATAAATGTACATCAACAATCTTTGACTGTCTCTGAGAAAATGGACACTCAAACTTTCTTAACCCCATGTTTTATAACCTACTGAACCTCTTAGTTCTTGCTGTGATCTGTGCCACTTCCCTCCCAGTAGTTCTTATGCTACAGAAGTGTACATTATTGGGTTCATACAAATACAACACAAACTGTAGCTTAAGGTTAATAATGATAAACAAAAGAGACGCTACTCTAAACCTACACTTTTATTTACATCCCATTCTTTTATAATAATATTATTATTAATATATCTAGACCTTTCATAACAACAATCCTAAGTCAACCCAGCTCTAATAGGTGACTTGGTCAAGAAACATATGAACTCTACTTCATCTACCCAATGGATTGTTGTAATGAGCAAAACTTACAAATTTACCTATTATACATTCCTGCTGTCACATGAATACTGTGTTAGCTGCTGTTATTTAAAAACTGCCATGAAAGCTGTTTTTTTTTTTTTGTTAACTTGCTGTCCACGTTAAAAGGCTGCTTTTTTATATCCAGAATGTGAACCACTAGTGATATTTATATTTTTCATTGTTGAATTGTCTAGTATGTTTTTTTAACTATACTGGCTAGATTAAAATCATGATTTGGGATAAAGGTTATGATGTAATAACTTTTAGATGTTGTTTAAGCTGATAAGTATCAAGAGCCAACTGGTATCTTCATTTAAACCGGAAAATTAAATGCTATTTACTCTGCACTGATAGGTTTGAAACCGATTAATTTTTATTAACAGAAACATGTGTTTTCCAGGTGTCATTAATTTAAAGATCAAAAATGTGTTTTTTCAGGTGTTATTAATTTAAAGATCAAAAATGTGTTTTTTCAGGTGTTATTAATTTAAAGATCAAAAATGTGTTTTTCTAGTGTTACTAATTTAAAGATCATGTGTTTTAAATTTATTGATCAAAAATGTGTTTTTCAGGTGTTACTCTAAGTTTAGTTGTGCTGGCTGTAGCCTTCCAGCTTGCTGCACTCAATTCTCCAGACAGTCATCAGATACATCACAATGACACATGCTCAATTTACAGGTAGGAAAAAAATTGATTATCAACTTTCATTGAGCTTGATAACCATGTCTGGATGTAGATTTACTATCATTTTTCCCCCCACTCAACTAAGGCGATTAAACTGAGTTTCGTACATCTCCAGTGAAACAAAATTTAATCACTTAGATGTTAAATCAACAATTAAAATATAATGTAAAGGTTACTGTGGACAATACAAAATATGTCATCAATGAGTCTGGTCATTTGTAGTAGTTTAATAAAAGATGTGTGTACTCTTAAGGGTCAAGGTCAGGTGTGTGTTTGTAAACAAGTCATCACTTAACTCCCAATAAATCATGCATTTTGTTAATGTAAAAAAAAAAAAAAACTATTTACGTTCAAATGTCTATTCGTTGTTATAAAATCAGATTTTTTGTTTACATTCATAAGTTCTTGAGATTATAATCTGTAAATCATGAAGTAGTGGGCTGGAAAAAAAATCCATCAATTTATTCAAAATTATATCCTCTTAATTTAAGTAAAATTAACTAGTCATACATAAGAAATTCGGTTTATAAAAAACTTTTGAAAATGATTTTATATTTTCATTAGATTGAAAATATTATTAAAATACACTTTAAAATGTATACTTTGATTAGTTTAAATATATTATTAAAATACCCTTTAAAAAATTTATACTTTGATTAATTTAAGTATATTATTAAAATACTCTTAAAAATGACTTTATACTTTGATTAATTTAAGTATATTATTAAAATACTCTTAAAAATGACTTTATACTTTGATAAGATTAAAAATATTATTAAAGTACACTTAAAAATACTTATAAAAAAAAAAACCACTGTTTTTTTCTGCAGGACTTGTGAAGCTTGTGTTGAAGACACCCACTGTGGGTTTTGTTACTCAGGAAGTGGTGCAGCAGTGAATGGCTCCTGCTTATTGACAGATCCCAAACAGAGTTCACACTCCCAGTACGGTCAGTGCGACAACTCAACACTGCCATCTGGGTTTGTTTGGGCGTATGACTATTGCCCCACGTCATATTCCTGGATGGCTATTTTAGGTCTGGTGCTCTATCTCATGTTTTTTGCACCAGGTTGGTTGTTTATTATTATTTGGTGATTTAGTTTTATTTAATTGTATATTATTTAAATGCATTCTGGATTTCTTAATTTGACTCCGTTTTATATACTAATTAAAAGTTACGTTAAGATCTAGGTTTAGCTACTCTAAAGGTTAATTGTTTTGGCTAGAATATTTTTCAAAAAGTTTAATTTATCTTATGGGATGGCATTGTCAGTTGGTAGAGCATAAGACTCTAGCCCGAAAATCTTAAGTTTGGATCCTGGCATTGATTATGTTAGCAGTGGCGTAGCCAGGATCGTCTCAAGGGGGGGGGGGGGGGGGTTCCAATTTTTACCCGGGGACAAACTTTCGATTTGCACCCCCCCCCCCCCCTCAAACTTTCGATTTGCACCCCCCTCAAACTTTCGATTTCCACCACCCCCTCAAACTTTCAATTTGCACCCCCCCCCCCCCTCAAACTTGCGTTTTGCACCACCCTCATACTTTTTATATATATACCGAGGGGTCTATGGGGGGGTTATGACCCCCCCCTAACCCCCCCTCCCGCCTACGCCACTGTATGTTAGATGCCCCTGAGTTCATCCAGCTATGATGAGTACCTAATTCACATCAGGGAAAGTAAAGGCAGCTGGGCTTTGTCCCCACCACACTATCCCTTCATATGTAGAGGTCACAGAAACATGTGAACTAATCCATCTGCTCTATTGACAACTGGGCTCAAAACTGTAACTTTTTAGTTTATCCTATGATCTATTTTTACCTTGTTGAAAATGTTTTGCTATTGTAGGGATGGGCCCAATGCCATGGACCATCAACTCTGAGATTTATCCAATTTGGGCCCGATCCACTGGGAATTCCCTCTCTGCTGCCACCAACTGGATAGCAAACCTGCTAGTGTCCATGACCTTTCTGACCCTCACAGAGACACTAACCAAGTATGGTAAGTGGCAATTGTTTGGGCCTTCCCCACCCCGACCCTCACACAAACCTTATCTTAGTATAGTAAGTTATAATCATGTGGGCATTTATCCCTCACTTCACAGAAACAGATTAGTAAATTTAAAAAGCTCAGATCTGTTTTGATAGTGGGCAGTGACTAAAAAGTATAGCCTGTGATTTCTGTAGTCTGTGATTTCTCTAGCCTGTGATTTCTGTAGTCTGTAATTTCTGTAGTCTGTGATTTCTGTAGCCTGTGATTTCTGTAGTCTGTGATTTCTCTAGTCTGTGATTTCTGTAGCATGCAATTTCTGTAGCCTGTGATTTCTGTAATCTTGTATTTCTCTAGCCTGTGATTTCTCTAGCCTGTGATTTCTCTAGCCTGTGATTTCTCTAGCCTGTGATTTCTCTAGCCTGTGATTTCTCTAGCCTGTGATTTCTCTAGCCTGTGATTTCTGTAATCTTGTATTTCTCTGGACTGTGATTTCTCTAGCCTGTGATTTCTCTAGCCTGTGATTTCTCTAGCCTGTGATTTCTGTAATCTTGTATTTCTCTAGCCTGTGATTTCTCTAGCCTGTGATTTCTGTAGTCTTGTATTTCTCTGGACTGTGATTTCTCTAGCCTGTGATTTCTCTAGCCTGTGATTTCTGTAGTCTTGTATTTCTCTGGACTGTGATTTCTCTAGCCTGTGATTTCACTAGCCTGTGATTTCTCTAGCCTGTGATTTCTGTAGTCTTGTATTTCTCTAGCCTGTGATTTCTCTAGCCTGTGATTTCTCTAGCCTGTAATTTCTCTAGCCTGTGATTTCTCTAGCCTGTGATTTCTCTAGCCTGTGATTTCTGTAATCTTGTATTTCTCTAGCCTGTGATTTCTCTAGCCTGTGATTTCTGTAGTCTTGTATTTCTCTAGCCTGTGATTTCTCTAGCCTGTGATTTCTGTAGTCTTGTATTTCTCTAGCCTGTGATTTCTCTAGCCTGTGATTTCTCTAGCCTGTGATTTCTCTAGCCTGTGATTTCTCTAGCCTGTGATTTCTGTAATCTTGTATTTCTCTAGCCTGCGATTTCTCTAGTCTGTGATTTCTGTAGTCTTGTATTTCTCTGGACTGTGATTTCTCTAGCCTGTGATTTCTCTAGCCTGTGATTTCTCTAGCCTGTGATTTCTGTAATCTTGTATTTCTCTAGCCTGTGATTTCTCTAGCCTGTGATTTCTCTAGCCTGTGATTTCTGTAATCTTGTATTTCTCTAGCCTGTGATTTCTGTAATCTTGTATTTCTCTAGCCTGTGATTTCTCTAGCCTGTGATTTCTGTAATCTTGTATTTCTCTAGCCTGTGATTTCTGTAATCTTGTATTTCTCTAGCCTGTGATTTCTCTAGCCTGTGATTTCTCTAGCCTGTGATTTCTCTAGCCTGTGATTTCTCTAGCCTGTAATTTCTCTAGCCTGTGATTTCTGTAGTCTTGTATTTCTCTAGCCTGTGATTTCTCTAGCCTGTGATTTCCAACTCAAAAGATTGAAGCTCACAAACTTTATGAAGCATATGTTTAGTATTGGTCTCTGAGGTAGCTTTGAGAAATCTAAATGGCAGATTGGCTTGATTTTTAAAAATCCCAAAACATCCAAAGACAAACTTGTGACTTATAAATATTCTAAAATAGTTGTATTTTTTCTATGATTATTGTCAATACTTGTGTAATATTGTTAATGATATGTAGAGACTGTCTTTTAGCTCAGTTTTCAAATAGTAAAAGTAAAATGTATACACCCTATAAATATTTATACTATAATGCTTCCCCTGTGTTTTTCTGCTCAGGTACATACTGGCTGTTTGTTGGTATAGGCATCCTAGGTTTAGTGTTCATTGGAACTCTTTTGCCAGAGACAAAGGGAAGTAAGTTGGAGGAGGTAGAAGATCTCTTTACTCAGCCATACATCTGCTGTGGTAAAGTTCAGCCACCATCCCAGTACAAAGCTCTGGGACATGAACCGACATCTTAGCATTTGGTGACATTTTTGTTTGTTATTGTTATTATTATTTTGGTTTGTTATTATATTGTACTATGATTGAAATCACCATCATCCCCAAATGTTCTCAAAAATCAACTGACATCTTAGGAAGGATTTGGTGAACTTTTGTTTTGTTTACAATATTGTACTGTAATTGAAGTCACTGTCTTCCCCAAAGCTCTAAAAAAAATCAACACACATCTTCGCATGTAATGAATTTTAGTTTTGCTTGTGATATTCTGCTTTGTGTGAAATATTTTAAAACAGAAATTTTAAATGACTTATTATACCTAATGTACAATAGCTTCAGTTGCAGCTTAAAATAATTTTCTGATGTTTTACTGATTCATTCATTGCTGAACTTGTTTTCCCGTTACATTTTGTTGGCAAGTGCGTAGTTCCACAGTATGATAGTAAGGTACTCCTAAATCCAACGTGTGTGAAATTGACCTGAAGCAAATTATCAATTTAAACAGCATTAGTTGTGTGGTATTGCTTGTTCCATTCTATTTAATTTTTTTTTTTACAATATTTAGAAAAAAGGGAGAGCATTTGTTGATTCAAAATATTATTAACAAATGCATAGTGTTGGTTAATTTCTCTTGTCTTTATGGTTCCTTGTCTTGTAAGTTTCTACTAGTCACCTCCAACATGGTGTAGGGAAAGATGGCACTAGCTAACTCAAAATTTTGAACTTTGCTCAAGACCTCACACTGTACCTTAATCAAACTGTCCATCATGTCCATATGCATTGGGGGAGGATGGAAAAGCCTGGTATAGGGAAAGATGGCGCTAGCTAACTCAAAATTTTAAACTTGGCTCATGACCGCAGGCTGTACCCCAACCAACCTGTACCTCATGTCCATATTATGCATTGGGGGAGGATGGAAAAGTCTGGTCAAGGGAAAGATGGCACTAGCTAACTCAAAATTTTGAAATTAGCTCAAGACTGCACACTGTACCTCAACCAAACTGTACCTCATGTCCATATTATGCACTGGGGGAGGATGGAAAAGCCTGGTCAAGGGAAAGATGGCACTAGCTAACTCAAAATTTTGAAATTAGCTCAAGACCATAGGCTGTACCTCAACCAAACTGTACCTCATGTCCATATTATGCACTGGGGGAGGATGGAAAAGCCTGGTCAAGGGAAAGATGGCTTTAGCTAACTCAAAATTTTGAAATTAGCTCAAGACCATAGGCTGTACCTCAACCAAACTGTACCTCATGTCCATATTATGCACTGGGGGCCGATGGAAAAGCCTGGTCAAGGGAAAGATAGTGCTAGCTAACTCAAAATTTTGAAATTAGCTCAAGACCACAGGCTGTACCTCAACCAAACTGTACCTCATGTCCATATTATGCACTGGGGGAGGATGGAAAAGCCTGGTCAAGGGAAAGATGGCTTTAGCTAACTCAAAATTTTGAACTTGGCTCAAGACCATAGGCTGTACCTCAACCAAACTGTACCTCATGTCCATATTATGCACTGGGGGAGGATGGAAAAGCCTGGTCAAGGGAAAGATGGCGCTAGCTAACTGAAAATGTTGGACTTGGCTCAAGACCGCAAGCTGTACCTCAACCAAACTGTACCTCATGTCCATATTATGAATTGGGGGCCGATGGAAAAGCCTGGTCAAGGGAAAGATGGTGCTAGCTAACTCAAAATTTTAAACTTCGCTCAAGACCATAGGCTGTACCTCAACCAAACTGTACCTCATGTCCATATCATGCACTGGGGGAGGATGGAAAAGCCTGGTGGGAACCCATGTGTCTAGTGGCTGGTGATGTGTGTAGCAGAAGTGCTCTATTGTGATCCCTGTTCCAGCCTGCCTGGCTAAAGGACAAAAGCTTGAGCTGGTGATGACTGTATAGAAGAGTGGGTATTGTGACCTGTACAGTACCACGGGTATCAAATGACAGACCATGTGACCTGTACAGTAGCATGGGTATCAAATGACAGACCATGTGACCTGTACAGTAGCACGGTTATCAAATGACAGACCATGTGACCTGGACTGTAGCACGGTTATCAAATGACAGACCATGTGACCTGGACTGTAGCACGGTTATCAAATGACAGACCATGTGACCTGTACAGTAGCACGGGTATCAAATAACAGACCATGTGACCTGTACAGTAGCATGGGTATCAAATAACAGACCATGTGACCTGTACAGTAGCACGGGTATCAAATAACAGACCATGTGACCTGTACAGTAGCACGGGTATCAAATGACAGACCATGTGACCTGTACAGTAGCACGGGTATCAAATAACAGACCATGTGACCTGTACAGTAGCACGGGTATCAAATAACAGACCATGTGACCTGTACAGTAGCACGGGTATCAAATGACAGACCATGTGACCTGTACAGTAGCACGGGTGACAGACCAGGACAGACCAACGGGAAATCCCCACAGGTCAATATGACATGGACAGGCACTACCCACCACTATCAAATGACGGAGCGTTAATAGCGCTCGATGATGACAGCGGTGTGCAGCCCCAAAAAGCTGACCCAGGGATGACACCTTAGGTTGACCGTGGCCGGACCCCAAGGCCACTATATATGACAGGGGATTGGAAGCCTGGGGAGAACAGACTTGAACAACGTGTTGTGTGCTCGTGTGCCACTGTCCAAAATAAAAGATATATATATTTATACAAGTGGCTTTTGTCGTCATACATAATCAACGTTGTTGGTATATGGCCCCACCACGCCAACTCACAACAGTGGGAGTAGTTTAATCTTAACCTGTGATGTAAACCATAATTCTTGGTAGAAGAGGATGAAAACCATTCTTGTCTTTAAAAAAAATATACACTATATCTGTAAGTGTAGTAGAATTTTTATGTTACTTGCTTAACTATAGTTTGTCTAAAATTATAATAATGATTGTTGATGCTCCCTGTTTTAGACATATAGTTTTTAATACTGCTGTGTTGAATGATAATAAAAAATTGTAAATGTAACTGTAGCACATCTTCAATTGCTTCCATGTTGCTGTTTATGTTAATGTTAGCTTATGATTGTATTTGTATACACTTACTTTGGGTTTTTGACATAACAAATCTTGTTACTGCTGTTTTGAAAAAATGCCATAATTCCAGTTTGTTTTATCAAGACTTTGTGATAGCTGTTATCCATTCCCATTATCATCCATAGCTTCCATATGAGATGCTCTATAGTTCCTTGTGAGCTTTAACTGAATGTTGAAATTAACCTTCTTCAAGATCTGCATTTGTTAATAGCATTAAACTTTTTGGATTCTTTTTAATAGTTTTCATATTTTTGTTCCAAGTAATTATAAATCAATTTTTTATTTTATTATATATGTTGGAAGTTAGCATTAGCTATATAATATATATATATAGATTTATGTAAATACATGTAGATTATAGACAGCTATATTATTTAGTGATTGTGAACTCATAATACAAAGTGGTGCTTATATCAATTGCCTTTAAAAGATATTCACACATTGTCAAGGCTTATGTCAAAAATATGAAATTAAAACCTTAAGGTTTTAACTCTATAGTTAGTTTTATAAACAGTGATCAAATAGTTTTAGATGTTCAATATTTTATGTGTAAAAACATTTGTTTTTAAATATTAAATAATATTATTTATTAAAAATCTTACTAAGAAAAGTCTTTCATAATGTCAGTAACAAAATGTATTGATTATTTTTAAGCTATTTATTTGTACTACTTATCTTTAGCTCTATTAATCTAATTTCAAATGTAAAATTTTGTCCTACAAGTTTTGTAAATTATTGTTTTTAATTAATTAACTAAAAATGTACCAGTTTCCTTCTCAAAACTTATGTCAACCATTTTAATGTTGCTAACCATGTTCTAAGATTTTTGAGGCCTTACATTTTTTATCAGGTTTACACTACTTCATTAAAAATTACATTTTTAAAGCAAATTATATTTTTTATAAAGTATTTAATTGATTTAAAAAAGCAGATTGTCCCAAAAGGTTAATTAATTACTTTATGAATGATAAACTATGGATTTTCTGGTTAGATAACATAATTAACATTTTACACAAGATTTCACTGAAGAATTTTTCATTAAAATTTTTTGTTGGAATAAAATATAAGTGGTAAAGGGACGTAATACTAGTTTTCTGCCATGTTTTTGTCAATTCTTGTTTCTAATTTGTTGGAATTTTAAATTCAATTTAATATATCAATTTTTTTATGCAATTATTTTTGCCTGCTTGATTATTTAACAGTTTGTGTATATTAGAGTGCATAAAAAACTTAAAAAAATTAATTCTTGCTAATATTAAGCTTAATAATTCACTTATTATTTTCTCTGGCAAAAATGGTGATTTTGTTTTTTTCCTGCTTGATTGTGCTGCTCTTGTTATCAGGAAAAACATTTTTTTTTAATTTAAATACTTTCAGTTTTTTCTATCATGTTTTTTTTTTAATTTTTATTAGAATAACAAGTTTTATGTTATTTGTTTTCTGACAATTATGTTTTATTTGTTTTTGTTTATTTATTTTTTTAAAAATTGATATTTTGAATTATATGAATGAGAAATAATAGTATACACATTCTTTTCTCTAATTATAAATATTCATACGACACACAAATACCCATATATACTACTCATGTTTCCTAGCTGATACCAAATAGAAATTTAATTAAAATAAGTTTTTTTTACTGGATTAATATTGAACAAGAAAATCAAAGGGCACTTGCCAGTGTAGTAAATATAAATCTATGAAGGCTATATCAAATCACTTCTCTAGTCTCATTGTTTAAAGTATTATAATATTTTATTCCAACATGTTTACAAATTGTGTTTTAGGTTTATTTATAAGATACCCTATATCACCAGCATTGTGATACATTGTCTCTGTGGGTTTTTTAAGCTTAAAATTAATTTATAACACTTGTATTTAAACGATGGTAAACAATTGTTGTATCTCTATCTCTCTCTCTCTCTCTCTCTCTCTCTCTCTCTC